TGGACCAAACAGTTCAACAAAGATTGCAAGGATGAATGCAAGCTACTCAACTTCAACATGTGTGCAGTTGTCTTTTGAAGAAACAGTGAACCTTTCAACGCCTGCCATTGCACCATTCCTGGAGAACACTTCTGATGTCAGCAACGTCACTTCAGTTTAAACATGGAGAGTGGGCCAAGCGAGGTACCAAGATGGAAGACGACCTCGTCATGGCAGAGAGGGAAAACCCCACTGCTCCGTCCCATGAAATGCCCATGGGATGTCCTGCATTGCCTGTCCTAATGCACCTACGAAATCAGACGACCAGAAATCAGCACGAAGGTCGTTCTCTGAAGGCCAAATTCACCACCAAAAATCTAGCTCCATCTTGCTGCAGGGATCTGCTGAGCAGAAAAACCATGCTAGATGTCATGGGCCAACACTCCTTGTACCTCCAGAGTTTATGGTCATGCCATGTCATGCCTGTATCCTACTGATCTACTGCGTATGCAAGCTGGTAAGACTCATTTTGATCGTGGCACAGGCTATGTATGCCTTTGCCGTTGCAACCCATAATCTGCACTGCTGTGACTGCTGGGTCATGCTATATTTTATTAGATCGACGGTGCTTCATTGTATAGTGATGCCTCTTGACTTGATATCGACCATTGCACATTCAACACATGTCTTTGCAACGACCATCGCAACAACTTGGCATTGCAAGCTTTAAGGAGTGTACAACGCTCTGTTTCTTCCTGAGTCTTAGTGGGGATTGTTGTGCATTAAACGCGCAAAAACAACATGTCGAAAGCTTCTGTACTACCTTAAAGCCTTATCATGTTGTCCTCATGGATTGGATCCGTTTTGGTCTTCAGAACTTGCCGTCTGACACACGCCGACTACCAATATCTACTGATCAGCAATCCACTCAGTGGCAGCCAATGAAGGAGTGCTTTCCAGAATTTTGCACTGACAAAGCCTCCCAGAGACAGACAATTTTGGAGTGAGTGGGCAATAGACTTTTTGCGGGACAACATATACAAAAATGGGGTAGTAATTACGCCGTACACTCCAACGTGGCAAGTTTAATTTTAGGGTCCCCGATGGCAAATCCAGGAGCCACCGAAAGCCCAAAGCTTCCCTGGGCCCCTTTTCTTCGGGTTGATCTGAGTTGACAATTCCTGGATATAAAGCATTATAAAACTATACATCTATTTGAAGGGGTACCTTTGGGGGTGGGCTATCCTTAGACTTCCGTGAGCATGTACACCTCCTGTTACAAAGTTGAGCATGCATTGTCTGGCTCTGACAAAAAACCTGAAGTCTTCTCTTTTTGCGTGAAGACGATTAGTACATACTAGGACACGAAACCATGCTCATTGAGCTAGAATCACTTGAATCTACTGGATCATTGGAGAACATCCTCAGTTATTCTCCAGGACTATCTGTTACTACCTATCCGTTTACTATTCACTGCTCCGTGCAGCAGTTGATCTTTTTTAGGCTCGCAAACAGCGTGTCGATCGGAAACCGCGAAACCTGTCCACGCCGGCTTCAAGCCGCGTGCACTGCTGACGCGCTGCACTTGACGTATCCAGCAACTTCAAAGAGCGCTTGGAACCAACAGTCCTTGAAGTTCATTGAAGGCCATGTCACCTTGACTTCAAAATGAGGCTTCAGCTTGCTTTGGGAGAGTGCTGAGCCACACAATATCCCATAAAGCATACTAAGAAAGCAATTTGAGATCACCGACAAGTACATGCTATTTTATGCCAGTAGTCAGTCGGATTTGTTCCTCTAAGACTAAGATACAGTCAGCTATATCACAAATCCGTTAGGCAGGACAACCAAATTCCATGCAAATATTGGCTACTGTGGGAGCTAGTTCAGTACTGGCATCCCTAGCCTAGGCAGTGTCTCTTTTAGAAGAGAAATATAACGCAGTCGATACTATTTGACTCCCAGATTGAACACAAAGTCTCTCAAGCAACCTCCCTCTTCAGTTGCAGATCTCAGCAGAAACCAAGTCGAAGCCGTGCAGTGCAAGCTCTACGTCTCCATTGAACTTTGCAAAGATCAAAGGGTTAATATGATGTCGGGGATCGCACTAACCCTGGATGGGTCACCAATGAAAGGGAAAAATGGCTGGGTCCCTGAGTCTGAAATTTGACCCTCATGGAATGAAAACATGCCTTTCTGCGAACTGTGAGCATGTCCCCACGTCACTTTGATATATATATATATTTTGATCACGTGTCGCTGTGAAGTCTCAAGTCCGAGCTCGCATTGCCTTAAGCCTGACGCTTCACTCCGTTGTTCAGCTTCTCAACTTTCATCTTTCCATCCTGGCTCAAATCGCTCCAAGACGGGACTGCATTCAAGCTTGACCATGAAAGTCTATGTAGCAACACGCAGCTCCCAATCTCACCCACCATCCAATCTTGAAACCAACATCACACCTATAATATCTCCACATTCTTGTCACTTCCACTTTCAATTCACCTTTCAAAATGTTTTTTTTTGGGTCGTTTTTTGCTGGTGCTCATTTCGTGACGTCGCCTCGATCTGCCAGCGTTCATTGCAGATGCGCTCCACAAAGTCGCTTTTGGGTTCGATCATGATGATCCCTCCCCGGAAGGTAGTCAGTGCCTAGGGCGCCCAGGTCATCTGTTCCATTGAGATTTCGAGAAAATACGAGAATATATATATATATATACATATATATAAATAATAAATACTATTGCACTATTGCATATACCCTAAAATTCAAAATCCAGTTATATCCCAAGTTTGGGGACATGATTAGACACAATTTTATATACAAATCCCGATCAAATCACATTTTTTCTGGATTCTTTCCTGGATGGAGGGCCTTCAATTCTTGAGTCATGCCCGACGCCGCCAAAGGCGCCTTTCCAAGGGCATCGACCGTCTCTACGTCCAGGTAATTGGTGGGCTCATCCAGCGCGATGAAATGCCTTGGACTATCCCTGGCGCCATGTCACCTTGGGGGATAATGTGGTAAAACCAATCATAAACTCTCCCCAATGTTGCCATATATATATAAATACGTGTATATGTATATATATATATGGGCTTTCAATCATCCCCAATATAACTATGATTCCAATATGTTGACAATGAGAATCCCCAATAATGTTAGTAAAGCAATAGGATCCAGCATCCCCAAATTTATCATTAAAATGTGTAGTATCAACCATCAATTAATATGGATAGTTATGTGGTAAACCCAATGCCATAAACTATCCGCAATAGTTAAATGGCGGTGTGATTTCCATCATACCTAATTTTGGTAGGTTTATGGCATTACCACATTACAGGGATTTACTGGCCGCAGAATAGTCTTGGTTCACGAACCTGAAAATAACCAACATGTTGGCTGGACAGGGGGGGTTAGCCCCGTTTTTACTGGGTTGCTTTTGGGGTTGGGGGGGGTGGGGTGGGATGTCAACGTTCATGTTACGCTGATGATGTTACGCTGATCATCTGGGGTTGGGGTGGGGTGGGGTGGGATGTTAACGTTCATGTTACGCTGATGATGTTACGCTGATCATCTGGGGTTGGGGTGGGGTGGGGTGGGATGTTAACGTTCATGATGTTACGCTGATCATCTGGGGTTGGGGTGGGGGGGGGGTGGGATGTTAACGTTCATGTTACGCTGATGATGTTACGCTGATCATCTGGGGTTGGGGTGGGGTGGGGTGGGATGTTAACGTTCATGTTACGCTGATGATGTTACGCTGATCATCTGGGGTTGGGGAGGGGTGGGGTGGGATGTTAACGTTCATGTTACGCTGATGATGTTACGCTGATCATCTGGGGTTGGGGAGGGGTGGGGTGGGATGTTAACGTTCATGTTACGCTGATGATGTTACGCTGATCATCTGGGGTTGGGGGGGGTTGCTACGCTCAGAAGGTCTTGGGGGCAGTGTGTGTGCACTTGCTTTCGATGTTGATGGTACGCGAAGAACGTATTTGGGGTTGGGGGGGTTGGGTCTGTGTTAACTGTATGATATATTTACTGTATTATATAATTATATATTTACTGAATAATATATACTTGTCAGGATGATTTGTTTATGTAAATTTCACCGGTCATGTCTGCCTGCTACCTGCGCTGCAGGTACGCATCTCAGATGTTGGGGCTGGGCTGCATTGGTGTGTCAGGGCTGGTTGGAGTTCTTGGTTGCGTGAGAGTTCGTCAAGTTTGCTTAGACATATAAGTTTCCAAAAGTAGTTCGTAGTTACATGGTTCAAACGCAAGAAAGGGTTTAACGCGAATATCATGGGAATGTCATGCTTGTCTAGCACAGCTTTGCTTGTGTAGCTCGCTGCTGGGCTCTGTTTCCATGGATCCGCTTCTGTATGGTGTTACATTGTTAATTCTCCTCCGCGCAGCTCATGAAAAGTTTCCACCTGTCTGTGTTCTTTGGTCCTTTTTGAGCACGGAAGAACTGTGGGATGTTCACTACATCTTAGCGTTGAAATGGCATGGGGATGCTGGAGCTGAGACCACCTTTGCTGCAGTGGAACGAGTGTATCATTGGACGAGCCATGATTCCTCAAGATGCAGCTGCGCACATTGTTGGGCGATCCCATGACTATGTCGATTCCATTTACAATCAAGCTCGCATGGTGACAGGTTGGGCTGAGTTTCAGAAAAACAAATCCATGACCTTTGACGCCGGAATCCTGGAGGTAGATTCGTGTCGTACGGCAACCAGAAAAAACAAGGTGGGGTCAAAGAAACGAAAAATGACAAAGAAGCCAGCCGGGAACACGGTTGCCAAGAAACCAACTTCCAAAGTGGCAGTGCATGGTGGTCGGTTTCTAGTGGCTGTCAGCAGAAAAAACAAACAAAGCGCTTTCTATCCTTTGCCTGACCGCTTCACGGCTACATCTGCTCCTGGCCCGCCAGAGACTTTAGACGAAGTTGTGCCGCTCTTGCAACACAAAGTGAACCCCAGCAAACACATCCTGGGCTCCGATGCCTCCAAAGGATTGAAGGGAGCTAGAAAAAAATTGAACTTGGAAGCAGTCACTGCTAGACATAGCTTGTCAGAATACACACCTGTACAGTCCCTCAAAAAGAGAAAGGTTTCCACAACAGCCTTGAAAGCCATTGGCTGCAAAGCAGCTCAAACTGGCCGGCATAAAGTAACCATGGTCGGAGGAGACCAGGTCGCAGAATCTCACACAGCTCTGCTGAAAAAGCAGCTGAGACGAAACAATAAGCTTGGAGGCCTCTCATTGAAAACTGCACACGTGGATGGTTTGTCAGCACTTTACATTCACAAGAACTTAGGCCTGGAAGCGACTATGATGGCGTTCGCTCAATTCATTGCCCACATGACTGACAAAGTCAGTCATGTGAAATGTTTTGAAGATGTCTCGTGGATGGAAGACAAGTGAAAAAAAAGGGCTCAACATGCAAATGTGTCGCAGCAACAAACCCCTGTAAAAGTCAATGACACAACATAACCATGTTTGAAAATTGTCATTTCGCCACGGCGAAACACTCCTTTTTGATCATGTGACTTTGCCTTTGACACATCAATGAAAAAAAGAGCTCAAAATGCAAATGTATCGCGGCAACAAACCCCTGTAAGGGTTGCTCCCAACATCCATTTTTTTGAAAAAATGAAAGTTATGTTGACACTGCTAAGCAGAACTCAAGTCAATGACACATCATAAGCATGTTTGAAAACTGCCATTTCGCCACAGCGAAACACTAATTTTTGATGATATGCACTTTGCCTTTGACAGACAGACGAACCAAAACAATTGGAAGCGGGGCTAACCCCCCCCGTCAACCCAACATGTTGACGGCAATGGGGGTGATCACCCTTGCACGTCCCATCATTCCAGTGACGTCACAACGTTAGGTCATGACCAAATTCATCCAGATTTATGGGGCTATAAAACCAACCATTTCGCTCCGGTTTACGAGGATAATAGTTGAAAAGAACAGGCTATGACAAACCACATATGATTTGGGTTTGTCCAAAAATGATGGATACCTCAAACCATCTTATTTTCAGGTTCCCTATTCGCGGACAAATCTACATTAAATATAGTTGCCTGGGTGAATTCCTGGCATAGGCCTTGGCGTTTTTGTTGCTTCAGGGTGCAGGCGAGGACAGACAATCACCAAACCTCGGGGTCCAGGTACAAAACCTCAGCAGTTGAGTGGATCATTTCCCCAAAAAAGGGACCATCAAAGATGGGAAGAACCACCTTCCAAGGCCCCCCAACGGCTTGGTCCAGAAGATAGCGGCCAAAGATAATCTCACCTGGCGGTTCATGCGTTGTTACTTCAGGACATCTTGGACCTTGCCGTGAAACCATGAAACTCAATTAAAAAACAATCAACATCATAATATGTAAGAATTAAACATAATATAAAAAAATATAATATAAATATAACACAAAATAAATATAGTTTAATTTAAATATAGTATGATATAATGTTAATATAAGATAAAATAAAATAATATTAATATAATATAACATAATATTAATATAATATAACATAATATAAATATAGTATAATATAGCATAATATAATATAAATATAAAAATAAATATGAATATAAATATAAATATAAATAAATATAATTATAAATAAATATAAATATATAAATATAAACATAAATATATTATAGTATAATTCAGTAAAATATAATAATATAATATAATATAATATAATATAGTATAGAATAATATAATATAGTATAGCATAATATAATATCATATAATATAATATAATATATATGGGACCTAAATGATTCTATGATCATTCCCAGCATTCCCAGCATGTCAGGGTGCCGAACGTGGCCTTTTGTCCAGCTGAAAAGCCACGAATTTGTCGATTGCAACACATTTCCTGTCGGGTCGGCTTCAACATGGTAGGAGGCATGGCCTGACATTTTTCTGTGACTGAAATTGCAATGATCAAACTGATCAAACCACCCTTTTTCAACGGCAAGTTTACCAGGAAAAGCGTGGAAAAACAATTGATTACCTTGATAAACCATGAGATCATGAGATGGGATTCGGATAATTCGCCCCCCTTTGAGGAAAACCCCCCAATTTTGTGACTTCCAAAAAGCTCCATTCAGTCGAGGAATCATCCCATGTGCTGTGCCTCATCAATCCCAAAGGCTTCGCAATGCCTCTCAAGGCGAAACATCCGCAAATGGACATGGGTCAATGAATAATTGGATGGTGAAGAATTATATATAATGTGGTAAACCCCATGCCACAAACCTAGCACGTTTTTTCTGGTTGAGGGTTTATACCGCCCACAAAACATGACGAAAATCTGAGGTCCCTCAGGCCCCAAATTTGACCCATCTCTAGATGGACTATCTTGGAAAATAAGGAAAGCGCCGACCAACTTGACATGTCCTGTAAACAGAACGAAGGAGTGTTTGAAACAATGCGATACATTGTGATTCACATTGCGTACCATCTTATAAAATGTATCCAATGATAATTAATACAATTAATTATATTATATTATATTAAATCATATTATATTATATTATTATTATATTAATTGTGACGTGAATCATTAAAATGCAGACCTCAGAAATCCACCGAAATTCTTCTAACACCATTCGCTGGGAAGGGTTTTTGCTTTTGAAAACATATTTCTCATTGCAAATCATCATCCCATTATCCCATCTAAGGATCGAATTACAAACATCGTTGACAGCACCGAATTTCCTAACCAAGTTATTGCTGGGATTTCTGGGGTATCTTCAGTATCTTCAGTATTACCATATACAACGGTGATTTCTCTTCCCATCTCTTCCCATATCTTGCCGTTGAACCAATGCCATGTCATATGACTCTCACAGCGGACGGAACCTGACGATTTCCCGTCGCGTCAATGGCCGCTGATCCAAGCCAGCCGCCTGATGCTACACAACAAAAAACATGCGTGCAATATAACATGATATATCTTATACCCCCTGGTTAATTTACATCGCTAATCATAGCTATAGAAAATTGTCCATTTATAGGTCATTTACCGATATTATACCTATTAGAAATATAAAATTATGCGGATTTTCCATAACTATGTTAAACACCATAGGGTGTATATATATATATACAACTCATATTATACACAATGCAGGCACATATACACACTATACACACCTGTTACACAATGCACACTATAAAACGATATGATATCCTTTATATGTGCACACTATATCACAATATATTAACACACTATATCAATCTATATTATGCAAAACAAGACTTGAATATTCATCTAACAATCGTTGCGGAGACAACTTTGTTGCCAAAACAGGTCTCTGTGCGATGTGCAATCCATGTTGCAACAGTCGAGAAGAACATGAAAGATGGAATTCTCTGCTACTAAATGTCAGTGATTTCAGTATGTGTATGATTCAAATATATTCAAATATTATTAATATTATCATTATATTCAAATATTATTAATATTACCATTGTCATTATTGTCATCTTGTCCAACCAGTACTGGGCTCTCTATTCAACCTTCGAACTCATACAATAAACACAATTAGTTCTAGTTGGTATTTAAAGATCACTTAAAAGGTCTCAAGGGATCTCAAGGGTGTTTTGCGTTCATACTTGACCTGAAACCCACAAGCCGGACTCCAAACTGATGAAAATGAGAATAAACAATTCTGGGATAAACACAAGCATGGGCTAGCAAACTAGCGAATTCCCATTGGATTAGCCACCAAGCTGCTAAGCTCCTAAACCTCTGCATATTTGCGTCCTCAGATTCGTCATATTGGAAAAATCCCTGCTGCACTATCCATCAAACATCAGACCCATGTGCCATTGGTTGGTTTACCATGGTTTACCCATCAAAACTGATTTAAAAAAAAAACACAACAAGAAAAAAACATAAGTTGGACTAAGCAACTGTTGGCTTGTTTCCCATCCAAAGATTACTAACCAACCATTGGTTAACCCATCCTCGCTGTCGCCATGCCTTCGCAGCGATCCGCTCGTCGCAGGCAATGATGACCTTGTCCAAACCCATGGCCTGAAACATGGCGACCTATGAGAAAATGGCAGGAGATGAGTATTTTTGTTTCAGGCATCAACCTTTGGATATCTTTGGATATCTTTGGATATCTTTGGATATCTTTGGATATCTTTGGATATCTTTGGATATCTTTGGATATTGGATATATTTATGATATTTATGTATATTTATGTCATATTAGTTGAACTTTGATGCCTATATCCAGAATCAACAGCAGGATTTCCAATACCCAATATCCAATATCCAATACATTTGATTGGGTATTTTCTTTACAAGAAAACTGGGGACCATGTTCCATTCAGCACATTTCCTCAAGCCCACGGTTTTTCGCTCACCTTGAGCTTTGAAATGGGTTCCACGGTGTTCTGCTTTGGGTCGTCCAAGCCAGCCTAGGAGTTAGCACTGAAACTCGGCCAAAGTCAGACAAGGGGAAGAACAGGACATGCGCGAAGTAATCAAGTGATTCAACGTGGCAAGAGTGAGACATGGTGTGATTTCTGTGTTTCCATTTGACATCCTTATGCATCATTATCATTACTCCCTAAAATTAACAAACTCAAAAACATGCAATTTTCACAGCAGTCTGACTTCATGCTACGAGAGCCACGTGAAACCACCCCAAGCCCTTTGGGCGTTTGCCCATCGCACTTCATATGCCAGGTGGTTGCCAACCTGCCACATCTTGCGTGTGTATGCTCCGTTTTTGAACGGGGTACTATGATAAGAGCCGTAGCTACTGTATATGATTCATATCAGTTACAATTTGTTACAGCATGACATCTCATCATATTTCGTATTTTGATATGTTATAGATTGTTACACCCGTATTCTCAGAAGGTGCTCTGCACTCTGGAGCCTGATTTTCACACATGCTCACATCACTTCAACGAGGATCTCAAACATTAATCAAAATAACATCTGAAACACGCTGAAATTTGCTGCTCTAACATGTAAGAGTAGCTATGACTGATGCATTGCTGGTCAATAGAGATTCTCGCAAAGTATGCGGATGGGTTCAAAGTTAAAACCTACGACACCATATTTGGTGTCGATGAACAATATGAACATCCATGTGCCATCTTGATGTTCACCCGGGTGCCAGGTTTTTGACATGTTACCCCATAGATCCCATAGTCATAGGATGTCACAGGTATCATCACAATCCCAAAACCTGGAAGATCCTGGAAGGAGAACCTACCAACATTTACCATCTCTGATGCACTCCCCATGTTTTTCCAGCTTCAAATCCGTGGTGAACATCTCTTGGCCATTGGGGTCCAAGCCACATACCAAGTAACCTCATAGGATCCACTGTTAGTTGGTGCCGACAAATCAACATCTTTCTGAAAACGTCCACATCAAGATTCACACAATCATCGGATCCCCATCAAAAAACATCAAAAATCAACCAAAAATCATCGGATCCCAATAGGGGCCTTCGTTCGGCTAATGAGCTCGGCCACTTCGTTGCCATACTTGCCATGTTGCTTGGCCAACTCCTGGTACAAGTTGTGGCTCCGGCAGCTACAGATACGGAATATCAATGAATATATAAAACAAATTCATCTATGTCTATACAGAAACATCATACCAAATTTATGGATATAGAATGACATAGTGACATAACAATAGATATAGAGATAGGTTTCTGATGGATGCTGGTTGAGCAAGCCACCTGAAAGCTGCCTCAGCCCCAAGCAACTGGGAATATGAACCATTGAAACATTGATGGGGTGGACACGGTGGAACCATCAATGGAATCATGTTTGAACATGTTTAAACTGGCTGCCTTAATGAGGATATTCCACTGATATGGATGAGGATATTCCACAGTGTTTATTCATTGGAACATTGATGCGGATATTCCATTGATATGGTGAGCAAACCACGGGGGAATTGGCCTGATAACAGCCAGGAAAGGCCTGGAAAATGGGTCGACTCGGCTTCATGATATCATCTCATGAGTTTCGAGATGATGCTTGAAACATGGAAAATCCCATGGATTTTCCCATGGATTATTCAAGCTCTCATGTTCACCACACATTTTAAGTGACTTCAATGTAACTTCTATGGCCTGGCCGAAAACACCGCAGCTACATAGATCTGGAGGCCTTCCGTCTTGAAGCTTCCTCTTCATCTTCAGGCCTCGTACTCAGCTTGCGCCGAACCACAGAAATGTAAAACATTTAGGAGTCTTAGGAATCTCCATGTGTTGAATTTCCCTGAAAAGTGTCATTGATTCACTGGCATGGGTCCGTTTTTGCATCTGCCGACTCTGAAGTTTTTCACGCATTGCACTTGTGCAATGTGGAAGTTTGATGAGCAGAAAAGGATAGTGGGGAATCCAGCAACTGTGAAGCTATTTGGTATCCCAAACCCACGTCGGATAGCAAGTGACTCAATCAGGCGCCGCTGCAAGTCTCCGTCATAGCCTTCCTGGCGTCCACTCGACGTTTCGTATCGTTTCGTGAGATGCCGTTTCCTTTATCATCCTCTATCGATAGTCAACGGTCAAAAGCGCCCAACCCAAACAGCTGCAGGTATTGCGCATGAGAAAACACGACCATCTGAGGTGCACCCAATCTTTAACCCATGGGATCCATGGGACCCGGGGACCCGCGGATTCCGCATCCTTGAAGCGCTCCGTGATGTAAACGAACCTCAGAATCCAACTGTTGCTAAGGGCCCACGCTCATTTTGATTCATGGCCAAACGCCAACAAAACCATAAAACACCATTTGCCAGATTTGTCAATGCAAATTTGTCATGCCTCTCCTCTGAGTATTCAATGATCCGCGGTCGACCCAAATTTGAACACGCCCAAGCCATCAAACCGAATCAAGGAGCGGAGAAGTGTCAAAGAAGGGTCCCAATGCCTTCAAATGGTCCTGACGCGCTGCCGCCAGTCGCAGCTAGTCACCTAGTCTACTCTTTGGATCTTCATGCCACAGTGCAATTGAATGATTTTAGGGGTTCAAAATGAATCACACTTATCAAAATGGTACAGAAAATATCAAAGAACTAAATTAAAATTAAAGCATACTAAAGCCATCTGCTCTGTGGTGTGCGAATCTTAGCTGCTAGCTGGTTGCACCATTTTGCGCTAGCGTCCTGCTTCATGTATGCCAGGCGCAGATTGTGATGTCGCCAAACCTCACAATTTGGTCTCAAGGGACTGACCAAACCACTCATGACATGACATGTACATGTCGTTTAGATGCAATGAATAGTACATTTAAATTTTCAAGTTCCCTATGGTGACATGACGCCAGCATCTGCTTGACCATCGCATGGATAATTAATTACTGTAGTCGCAATGGGCACGTGCCTCACCATGGGATCCATCTTTATTCTCCGATGGTGTGAGCCTAGGCGAGACAGGGCACAAGCAATGTGCAGCCTGCGCGACAGGCAGCAGATCGGCACGGATCATCTTTCTCTACTTTGCTCCTTTGAAGTCCTTTGAACGATTTTTTCACTGCATTCTTCGCAGGTTCCTTATATATATATATATATCATAAATTCGTACAACCAGCCCCCAAGGCGAAATGAGGCCTGATCCTGCACCTCTGCGTGAACTAAAACTGTCACGAGGCCCCAGCTCACTACACAAGAGCGTCATGAGTGTGGACTTCCCACAGCCATTCCTGGCCATGATCTGGCAACAATCGGCATCAACAACGGCATCAAACACATGAATCAAACCCGGTATCAATCATATCTCAGGCCTTCCCCCCCAAGAGAGTTGTTTTTGATGGTTTTTGACGGTTTTTGTGACTCCCCAAATCCACAAAAATCATGGTGTGCAATGATTTTAAACATATTGCAACCAACATTGCTATCCTCATACATCAAGCCTTGCGCACATGGGACGCTCCTGCCGCAAATAGCCACACGAGAGCTCAAGCTCAGCTTTCCACAGCAGTCTTGCAGCAGGTACTCCTCCAGGTTGGATGTGTGATGTGGTTCCCTCAAATCTACCACCAGATTTACCACCTATTTATGGCCTAAGATATCTCTAAGATATGCCATTCAATAGCCAAGTGGTGATCCACTACAGTTTTGATGATCCAATTTTGGGACAAACCCGAGTTGTTTCAGGCAAGATCTGCGGGGAAAAAAATGATACAATATAATACCCTCCAAATGTATGGGTTTCCGTTTCCTATACATGTTCCCTTCAACCAATAACAATTCAGGAATCAGATATTCTCACTGTCTCACTTCTGACATCTTCTGACCAGGCCTTATCCTTCGAATAGCGGAAGGAGACATGCCTCGGCGCAAAGCGATGCAGGTGAGGTTCTGTCTGCACAACTCAAGCTTGGCTCAGAAAAAACACCTCTATCAGTGGAATGAGGACAGCAATCATTGGGTTCCCCTAAAAAATTCATTAATCATTCCCCCTCCCTAATATTACGGCAAGACCTTGAGGTTTGCCCGGACTCGCAACGAGTTCCCGGCAAGCAAAAATGATGACACTGACGGCGACGGCGACGGCGATGATGACGATGACGATGACGATGACGATGATGCTGATGACGATGATGCTGATGCTGATGCTGATGATGATGATGACGATGACGATGACGATGATGCTGATGCTGATGATGATGATGATGATGATGATGATGATGTTTATCTTCTTGAAACCCCATAAGAAATCCTAATGACTGTATGGTTAATTCTTCCATGGGGCCGGGGGATTTTGATGTCTTCTGGAAATCCTATAAGAATTTCCTAATGAGTATATGGTTAATTCCATATTATGATATGTAGAAGCAACATATTCTGGTTAACACCCTAGCAATCCCTAGCAACATAATTGAATATCAACCTCTTCCCGTTGTTTGACGTCGTACAGAACTTTCTGTTATTTACGCTATTCTGGGCTTGGGCAAACCTCGGGGTCTGTGTGTAATATTAGACACCTCCTAAATGGTCCCAAATATATGCAAATCCTCCGGTAAGCCATGGTTTGAACGGGGGGACTACACAAAACGCTGAAAAAACCTATGGTCCCCTTAGATTGTTCCCAGCCACCCATCCCGCGCATCTCAGATGATGACTTCACTTCCAACACGCTTTTAGATCCAGTCCTGATTCGTGCAATCGCTTGGGGAGCGTGGGTAGGTGCCCTGAAAGTGGATGAAGAAATAGATGAATATGGGTGATCAAATTGGTCAATGATGATAGTTAATGAAAAAACATGAGAAAACAGCACGGTCAATTTTGCAGTCCATAATGCTGATACTTACATACTCCAACTATATAACTTATATAACTATGACCCACATGCATCTGGATTTGACTAAAAATGGGAACATTCCCCTAAAATCAACTGCTTAATCATGCTTAATCAGCATTTTCCATATTAAACCCCATGAACTTGGCTCGTTCTGGGGGTTGGATTCTCAGGCAGTGGCTTGACACCTTCCATAGATCCAGGGATAGGGAAAGTGAGTTTCGGCGGTCCAGTCACCGGGGCTGCCACCTGACACAACAAGCATCAACAAGCTAATGTTAGTAAAGCAGTAGGATCCACCATCCCCAAATTTCATCCATCAATCCATATGGGGGATCCCCAATAGCTGGATCCATAGCTGGATCAATAGCTGGTTGAAGATGGAAACATCCCAAATGGCTGGGTCGCAAACCTTTGGCGCATCACCTGCAGCAGACATGGTTTGAAGTCCCAGATTTCTCTGAACATGATACAGATATATACAGATAACATGGGAAAAACCATGGAAAGACCATAGACTGGTCGATCATCATTTTCTCCCCTTGGATCGCCGTGCGCCGTGCGAAAACGCGACCTTCGCCATCCTCTTCTTCGCCGTTCTTGGTGTCGAAGCTCAAATTTCCCGAGAGCATCGCATCAATCTGCTCCTGCAGCACACATGGCAGAGTGCAATCTACTGGTTACCTGCTGATCGCTTCGCATTGCCAACGTGTCATGCTGAGACCCTGGCTCTGCTGAGACCCTTCTTCTGGGCGAAGATGTCGAAATTGCCTTCAGTGTATTCGAGCTTCTTGTCCACGTATGCAACCACCTCAGAATCTGTATCTGACACCATTCACAAGTGCAAGGGGTTGTTGATCAAAATTCCTTTATCCCGGAACGGCCATTCTTCGCGAATATAAATTTTACTTTCGCGAAACTTTCGCGAACTCCATGTTTATCTTTCGCGGGGCCCATGTTGGCCAACAACACCTCTTATGAAGATTCGTTCACCACCTGCCAAAGATTGCCAAAGTACGCCAGAGAATCACGGATCACTTCTTGGTAGCCTTTTAAACATGCAGCTAGCATCACGGAATCCCTTCTCAGGACAGATTTTTTTTTGCAAAGTTTTACTGGCCCACCCCCTTCAACATGCACTTTGACTTTCGCCCGCTCTTTCGCATAACTTTCGCGAAAATATCCCTATTCACAGACCCCGGCCATCAGCAGGGGGTGCACTGAAGGAAAAGCGAAGACCAGGGGCCTTGGTGTTTGGCTCTCGCAAAGCCTCACTTTTGGAAACTTGGCTACTGCTACTCGCATTCTCTGGTGCCCTTCTCCTGCCGGACCCCGGGCGGCAGTGGGTGGCAGCCCTTTACATATAATGATTATAATACCCAACTTTCGCGAAACTTTCGCGAAATAACATTTTACTTTCGCGAACTCGAAAAAAAACTTTCGCGAGGGTTTCCAACATAACATGCACGGCTTTCGCAATTAAAACTCAAGGACCTTTAGATCGATCACCATATATGAAATAAAGGATGCCAAAATATTCAGCGCCCTTTGTATTCATGTGCTTTCGTGCTGGCTTCACCAAACACTTGTGGAATGACAAGGAGTTCATTAGTTCATGCCAGAGTCCGACGCCCTGAGATGCCACGCGTGAGTGCAAATCTTGTTCAGGAACTTGGGTTCGTGCGAAATGACCTTCAGAGATGCAGAAAAAATGTCAACCATTGGGTAACCATGTCAACCGGATTAACCACGGTCAATTAATGGGAGTACTCCCCCAATAGTCATAATGTAATAATCTGATACTTAAATGGGACCCCTCCGCAATTAAACAGCGTAGGCATAGGGGATTATTAATCCCGGGTTGACATTACTTCGAGAGATTCTGCTGAGAGTTCTGCCATGACTGAAGAAGATGTGATAGAAAGGATGTAGTCCTTAGCAACGCAAAGAGTTGCAGTGAGAACCGAAAATGGCTACGGGTTCAACTTTTCAAATCTATGTTGTTCATCGTTTTTCACTATTTGTCCGTGTTCACAATCCCCTTCAATCACATCCAGCAATTTTCATTTGTGAAGTTCCATGGCGTCCATGGGGCTAAGGTTGCCGCACTGAGCCAGCGAACGGACTCTTCATCCAAATGGTTCCTGGGACCCAAGATCGAACCCATACCAGGGGTACCAGGGGTACCAGGGGTACCAAGCATAGAGAGAATACCAAACGAAACTGTGAATTTAGCACCAAAAGATAGATATGACCAAAATCCCATAGACGCTGATGAGATGTTCCCCTTGGTAGCAGCCCCACTGTGGTTGGTGAAAATCCAACTCTTGAGATGCCCTGGATGAAATCGAGCAACGTGAAGGCTGGCCCCCTACAGGCCACAAAGAGCCACTTCCTGTACAACAGCCTGGATTAGAAACTCGTTTGAGAAGTACCAATGACCCCCAGATCGAATCATTCTTCCATCCCACACTGAGGGACCCAACATGACATGAAGACATTGTTTGCACTCCCAATGAAGTAAGGTACCCCATTCGATCAATTGGAGGCCACCCATCCTTCTTTTAAAACACCCCCTCTTTTACAATCAAACATGGGGTATTTATCAACTGATATCAACTGAAGCCATCAAATCGTTCAAAAAACCATTTGAGATTTACCATAGCTCACCATACTTCGCGATGTCTTACCATCTTCAACATATTTTACCAACCTTGGGGGTAACCAAGAGCACCCCGGGTCGTTGGCTTCAGGAGGCGTTGGCTCGTCCAAAAGGACTAAATCGGCGTGTTTCAACATGGACACCGCCAGCGTGAGTCGCATCCTGCGCGATCATCATCGACACTCGGTCAACGAATGGAGTCATGTGGTAAACCCATCAACTTTAAACCTACCTGATACAAGGCATAAACATATATAAAACTGGAGATTTTATGAATGGTTCATTATGAAGGGTCTAATCATATGAACATTGGGGATAGTTCATGAGAATGAGATTGAACACTGGGAAGGTCATGGAAGATGTGCATGAAACCTGAAGCCGTCCCAATACAATATCATACAATATCCACGTGAAGTCAGAAAACACATTGAGTGAACTTGAGCAATTTATGACCGTTGATTCGGTTTCTCGACCATGCATCATTATGCTGTACAGACCGGTTTTCTTAAAATCCATTGTGGAGAGAGATACGTATGGCATAACTTATGGGACTATCAATCAATGAGTTTCTGATAGAAATTAGGGTTGCAACATGTTTCAACCAACTCCACATGGGGTATTTGAAGAAAACCCAAGTGAGCTCACATGAAGGAATTGACCCCCCCAACTAAAACGACACTCCAAGCATTGGTTGCACATGGTCAGGGAAAAAAAAATGAAGGAACTTCAAAGTTTCATAAAAATCGAAACCATTCTTTGCCAGTGCCAAGTGCCAAGCCTTTTCTGAGGAACATCAGATGGACAACAGGACAACACATCGTGATCATCTGAGGATGTCCGGTTTCCTGTGGGCTGAGACCAGATTTCGGCAGCTGTGTTTCCACGACATGGATCAGGGGTATGGATCATTCAATCATCATTCAAGGTATGGATCCCGGGGGCCCAAGGCCTTGATCCATTGCATTTTCACCACCCAGTTGTAAACCCAGTTACAGAATGTTACAAAGGCATGAAATTGTGATTCGATCCCATATTTTCTTATCTTTTCCGCGATTTTTGGCCATTCCTTGACCGCTTGGTCCTCCAACCGGTGGACAGCTCGCTCACGGGATCGTTCAGCTTCGCTTCATCAAAGCCGACCTTCAGAAAAAACAGGCAGGGCAACTAGGCAGGCTATAACATGCTATAACTGCGGAACCAGTGGGGATATAAAATGCTACATCCGTCCCATGGGTCCCATATCCATCGGCCCTCATTGATAATCACAAACTTGTGGATGCAACAATACAACAAGGGCCCTGGGCCCTGGGTGTGTCCAAGAATTGGAGACCATGGTTCATAGTATGTCATAGTAGTTCATAGTCTGAGGCAGTTTCTGCAGTACCTGTCCCTGTGGTCTATCAGGGGAACCTGGGACAGACAAAAGAATGAACCGATTAAACACGGTCGTTTGGAGCTTCGCTGAAAAACGGCGTCAAAAAGCAAGGTTTTTGCAAACACGCCAAACCTAAGAACCCTAGAAACAGTGATCAACATCGGCTTAGAATGATGTGTTTATTGTCTCCTCTATTTTCTTCCCTATTTTCTCTCCTGATTTCCTTTTAGATTTTCTTCCCTACCTTCTCCCCTACTATCTCCGTTATTTTCTTCCCTACCTTTTTTCAATTTTTCTTCCTTACTTTCCTACCTATTTTCTGACATAATTATTTCGTTCTGTATTTTCTTCCCTAATTTCTTCCCTATCGTCTTCCGTATTCTAATTTCATCTAATTTCACTATTTTCTTCCCGTGTTTTTTGCATGTTCTTTCCCATTTTCACCCCTATGTTCTTCCCTATTTTCATCCCTTGTTCTTTTTCTATGTTCTCCCCGATTTTCTTCCCTGTTTTTTATCCTAGGCCTATATATAATATATATTATATATATAATTATATATATATATATACATACACAATTATATACATATGTTCTTGACTATTTTTGTTCCACAATTTTCTTACTTATTTTCTCCAATAGTTTCTTCCCTATGTTCTTCTGTATTTCCCCGCCTGCCAGGTGAGGGTTGTTAATCCCCGACCCCAACTGGTTAAGGAGTAGGGGGGGTGGATCCTACATTTCTGATAATGTATGAACATAAGGGGGGGGTTAACCCCGTCACTTTTTGCCAAAAATGTATGGGAACTAGGGGGGAGTTACCCCTCAAAATGAGGCATGTATGAGTGCCAGATGCTGGAAATGTAATAATATGAGATTCTTTGGCAGCCAGAGATTGGAAAACCCTTTAAAGGTTTTTTCATCCTTTTTTTATCCTATTTGAATTTTCTGGGATATCCTTTTTTTATCCTCCTTCATTTTTGGTGTGTTTTTTTATCCTTTTTTAATCATGTTTTTATCATGTTTTTATCCTCCTTGATTTTGGTGTGTGTTTTTGTTTATCATTTTTTTATCCATTTTTTATCCTGGTTTTATCTTTTTTTCATCATTTGTTTATCCTCAAAATGGATCAAAATTGGCTTCTCCAGGTACAAAAGGGAAAGGGCTGAGGAAAAGCGTAGGATTTTATCCTCTTTTTTATCCTTGTTTTATCCTGTTTTTATCTTTTTTTTATCCTTTTTTTATCGTGTTTTTATCCTTTTTTTATCCTCCTAGCTGCAAAATGGATCAAAATTGGCTTCCCCAGGTACAAAAGGCAAAGGGCTGAGGAAAAGTGTAGATTTTATCATTTTTTAAATCCTTTTTTATCCTCCTAGCTGCAAAATGGATCAAAATTGGCTTCCCCAGGTACAAAAGGCAAAGGGCTGAGGAAAAGCGTAGGATTTTATCCTTTTTCTATCCTTTTTTTATCCTTTTTTTATCCTCCTAGCTGCAAAATGGATCAAAATTGGCTTCCCCAGGTACAGAAGGCAAAGGGCTGAGGAAACGTGTAGGATTTTATCATTTTTCTATCCTTTTTTTATCCTTTTTTTATCCTTTTTTGATCCTCCTAGCTGCAAAATGGATCAAAATTGGCTTCTGCAGGTACAAAAGGATAAAAAAAAGATAAAAAAAATGATAAAAAAGGATAAAAAAAGATATCCAAAATTGATGAAAATTCAAATGAGGATAAAAAAAGGATATCCAGGTCAAGGACAAGAGGATAAAAACATGATAAAAAAAGGATATCCAAAATTGAGGAAAAATCAGGGGAGGATAAAAAAAGGATATCCAGGTCAAGGGCAAAAGGATAAAAAAAAGATAAAAAAACCTTTATTTCTGATCCCATGCTGTGGCTCAAAGATTCTCATATTTATTGGTAGGGGTATTGAACCTGAAAATGTATGCTTTGTGGGGGGCACCACTGACAAGAGCCAATGGCTACATAAACTTTTCTAAATGTATGCAAGCATGGGGGGTTCTGCACCTCAATCCAGTTGATCTTTTTTTCCTGGGAAACCTACTGAAACCCATGGGGAAACCTGGGAATACCTGGGGTCACCTAAAAATATTCTGGAGTATTCTGGGCTGAAGACCATTGAAGACCATTCTGGGCCAATGGCAACCAGCGGGCCCTCGAGCCATAAAATGGCTGAAATATACTCGATCTTAAATATTCTGAAATGTATGCATTGCAGGGGGTACCAATGACTACCTTAGCAAGATCTATAAACTCCATTTTCCCAAAATGATGAGCTTTTCGGCTACCCAACCCCCTAAAATACATTTTTCAATGAAGGGTATTCCCCAGAAAAAATTGACATTCCCGGGGCTCCTGGAAAAACCAAACCCGTAAAATGTATTAAATCACCCCCCAAAATGAAAGATCCTGGGGGGGTTGGATATCCCGACCCATGGATCCTACATTTAACGTACACCCACCGGTCAAATAATGTATTTAGGGGGGGTCCTGGGGAACCAACTTCTTGGAGAACGGTAAATGTATTTTTTTTACCTGACCTCTCCCCCCCTAAAATACATTTTATGGGTGGGTGATGGTTGTTAGATTTTATCAGAGCTCTTGCCCGCCGCCTCTCCTCCTCCTCGACTAGCTGTCCTCTTCCTCCTCGTCCTCCTCCTCGCCTCCTCCTCCAGTTTCTCCTCGACCATGTCTGCATCAACTTCCACCGGCACTTCCGCCTTTCCAACTCTTCGCCAAGCTCTTTGCCAACTCTCTTCGCCAAGCTCTTTGCCAACTTCCCAGCTCAGTGTGCACCGCTGGACCTCAACCTGGGACCGTCCCAGCTCAGTGTGCACCGCTGGACCTCAACCTGGGACCTGCCCAGCCCAGTGTGCACCGCTGGACCTCAACCTGGGATCTGCCCAGCTCAGTGTGCATCGCTGGACCTCAACCTGGGATCTGCCCAGCTCAGTGTGCACCGCTGGACCTCAACGGGCAGATAGAATGCCAGAAGATATGCCAGATAGATGTCAGATAGAATGCCAGAAGATATGCCAGATAAAATGCCATGAGATATGCCAAATAGAATGCCAGGAGATATGCCAGATAGAATGCCAGAAGATATGCCAGATTAAATGCCATGAGATATGCCAAATAGAATGCCAGAAGATATGCCAGATAGAATGCCAGAGATATACCAGATAGAATGCCAGAAGATATGCCAGATAGAATGCCAGAAGGTATGCCACATAGAATGCCAGATAAAATATCCGATAGACTGCCACAAGATATGCCAGATAGAATCCCAGAAGATTTGCCAGATAATATGCCAGAAGATATGCCAGATAGAATGCCAGAAGATATTAAAATGTATAAATGTCATGGTGGGGATCACTCGAAGTAAAGTAATTTCCTATATTGTGCTAGCTCCGATAGAAACAATGCTCCCAGGCCGGAAGCATTATTGGAAAAATACACCTGAAATGTGATTTCTGTGCCTTCAGAAGCGTGTCTCGGCCAGCATCGTTGACCCCAATCTGCTGCGGTGATTGGGAAGCTCAACAGCAGGATTGATGAAAGAAGGAATGAACGGCCAAGTGTTGCTGTAGCTTTTCCTTAAGTGGAGTTTCTTATTTCTTGATTTTCTTGATATATGAGTGCCAAAAACGCCAAAGCGGCATTCCGGACTGAATCTAGCAGTGATCACACTGATCGATTGTTGTCTGGTGGACCACGCAGCCACAGAACAACAACACGATTCCTTCGCCATTTTGATGCAGTACTCCAAAGCCTTTTCGGAACAGTCTGGAGAATGGGACAAAGTAAAGTCCAATCTCCATCTAGCACAACACATGTGAAACTCAAACTCCTGGAGAAAAAAGAACGCTTATTATTTTTGGCTATGTTATCTGACATGCACATTATGGATTTACATCATTTTACATCCTCATCAGTGATCAAAAACTCTTAGGCCAAGACATTCAGGTAACTCTTGCTCATCTCCCCAAGTTTGGAGTCGTCCACATGTACGCACTTGAGATCCTGCTCGGTGAGCGCTGAAAATTCCCAAGAAACCGGGCCTGTCCTTTGAGAAACTTGGGAGAAAAGAAATCAATGGCAATATATAATGACTAGATATAATGTTTTGATATTATAATGTAATAATATGTAATATCTAGTCATTATATCATGGCAATATCTACACTCTAGTCATTATAGTAATTATATAAACGATGAACGATATGATTTCCCAATTTAAACGTGCTTTTTATTTACTATTGCCAATCCCAACTACTGGACATTTCAGCCAACCCCCAATGTTTCTTCGTTTCCCAGGATTTTTCCGTGAAATCCCCATTGGGATTTGTCTGAAAATATGATACCTCAGAATCCCCATGGCTTACCCTCTGGTAAACTAACATAGCTATGGAAAATCACCATTTTTAATGGGAAAATCCACTATAAATGGCAATTTTCAATAGCCATGTTAAATTCCCAGAGGGTATCATAATTTTCCTTTATACATGGCTATATGATATATGTCTCACTCACCACGCAAATATACGCACCATGCCGCGGTCCGGCGGCATGCCAACGATGCGATGTGCCGCGATCTCCTTCATGAGGGTCGTCTTACCAGCACCATTGTGACCTGTGTGGGAGGAACAGGGCAAGGCTTGTTTTTCTTTAACATAATCCAAGTCTTGTGGATTGTTCATCAACAAATACAACATATTATTTTGATGTTCAAATTTCTCGGAAAAAAGTACATTTACCAAACCCTGAGGAGGGTGCCAGGATATGTTGGGCATGTTTGAGCAAAAGCAAGGGGAAAGCAAGATCCACCATGAAATGTGGGGATATTTCATGGGATTCTGCTATATGATAGAATGGGATAGAATGGGATAGAATGGAATACAAGAAACCACTTTGGCAACAAAATGGTTTGGGTCGGTGTACAAAGGGATGGGGCCCCAAGGCCGCAAGGTCTGACAATTCATGGGAAAATGAAAGGTGACCCCAGCGATGTGGATGGGCATGGCGGGAAAGGACATATTTGAAGCTCCAAATTAAAGAGGGATGGACATGGCTTGTGCGAAAATAGGGCTAGCCCCAATTCCGTTGGTTTCTCATAATTAGAATAATCATTTTTCCCATAAAGTGATAAAAAGATATAATATAAAGTGGGGCCATACCTTGGGTTATGCACCATTTTCAGCCACAGCCGCTACAACAAAAATCGGCTGCCTACGACACCGTAGCGGCAGTTCTTCCGCATCTCCAGTGTGGTGTCCTACATGGCGTGGTGACACCATAGATTGTCTATTTTTCCGGATTTGATGGGATGAAAAATGCCAACTTCTACATGTTTTGGAGGGGTTGATATGCATCAACGGCCATTGAAATTGCTGTCGAAATGAATGAAGATATCGCTGTGCTTGATGACCAAGGCATTTGACGCCGCCGAACTACCCAGCTGAACTTCGACGTCCTTTAGCAACAAGTGGCCGGCTCCATACATCAGGAGAAGATTCTCGACTCTTAACCTCAGGATTATCCCAGGCATTGTGGTTTTACAACCATCACATCAAACAACTAAATACTAAATATCTCATCGCGGGCTCAACATTGTACAAACTCATTCTACTGGATTGCTCCAATGGTCCCACAGGTGCATCATGTTCATATGTTGCAACTGAAGACTCAGGTCGAGGCAAAATCTCGTCATCTTCATCTTGTCCATCTGCATGAGCATCAAACGAGTCCTACGATTTGTAGAACGCTGAATCCACAGTGGTTCCACGTGGGCGCTTGGATGAGATGGATTCTAAATTGCCACTGAGTGGTTTCTAACAGAGCAACAAATCGCTTTGGGATCTCTAGGTGCAACTGCCAACTGCCTTGATTACACACAAACTAGGAGAACGCCCATAACTTGGAAGTAGTTCATCTTGGGCACTGAATTCCATACTCCGTTCTTGAAGAACCGGGACAAAACACATCGAATTTCCGTTGGGTTTCCGTCTTTCAACCATTTCCAACAGTAGCCAACTCTCTGTGTCTGGGTCCATCCCCATCAGTCCCCCATGACTGCTCTGACCACGGCTTCCGAAATCGAGGGCAAGTCGTTCAAGGAAGGAGCTTCACCCACCTCATCCGAGATCCGAACCATGGGAGTCGAACACTGCCATAAACCATCTCCAAAATCACCATAAATAGGTGGTATAATGGGTGGTATTATGGATGGTTTATGGATGTTTATGGCATTGTTTTACCCACCATTATTGATTTATATTCGCGCGTCATGGTGTATCATAAACCATCATTGATTCACAGGATGATGAAATATCGGTCTATCAGATTGTCATGGTCTATCATCATTATCCCAATTTAAAATACGGACGAAGTCACCGAGTGTGTATTAAATTGATATAGCCATCAATTGGGTGTAAATCAAGAAAATCCCGCATTTCCATGGCAACCCCACATGTTTGCTGAAAAAAACACGTGAGACATACACGAAATCACCATAGGATCCAACATGTGCAAGTGATTTTGATATGTCTACCTTGGCAAGAAACGCAAAAGTGTTCATAAATACAGGTCGCTGTCCCTGCAATTTCTAATGCATGTTGACTGCTATCTTAAACTTAGAGACCGCAAAAATCCATACCTTCTCCAATATTAAAATGGAAGTTTAGTCTCGAATTTTCAGGGTTTTCCCAAGTTGTGAGTTCACTATCACCCGAACAAAATCGACCCCCACAGTTGGCAAGTGCCAGTCCGGCTACACAGCGCCATGCCTCTTTGGACAGAGTCAATGCTGTCGTGAAATCTTCCGTCATTGTTGCCATCTGCTTCCTTTGCCAGGGCTGGGTGAGGTTCAGAACCTGTGCAAAGTCTGGTTGTTAGCCAATACTTGTGGGAAAAAATGCCGGAACGGGAACTTCAATAACCAACAAACAACATGATTTCTTGTTTCAATGCGCACGTGTTACTTTTATATACGTTTACATTTAAAATTGTTTATATGAATTAAATTATTTAATTTCAAACTGCTGTAATGCTAAATCATTTTTTCTGCTGCCCTTTTGTCGGGCCAGACCTTCCATTGAAATGTTTGTTCTTCTGGCCCTCCACCACAATCGACCTGAAAAACATGGAAACGGTGCGTGAACGAAGTACTGAAATGTATGGAAACGGTTTCACCTCTAAAATGCTTAAATTACTTTACTTCGTGTGATCCTCACCATGACATTTAAAAGTTTTGTTACTGGCAAATCTTCTGACATTCTATCTGGCATATCTTCTGGCATTCTATCTGACATATCTTCTGGCATTCGATCTGGCATTCTATCTGGCATATCTTCTGGCATTTTATCTGGCATATCTTCTGGCATTCTATCTGACATTCTATCTGGCATTCTATCTGGCATATTTCTGGCATATCTTCTGACATCCTATCTGGCAAATCTTCTGGCATTCTATCTGGCAAGCATTCTGGCAATTTCTATCTGACATTCTATCTGGCACTTTATCTGGCATATCTTTTGGCATTCTATCTGGCATATCTTCTGGCATTCTATCTGGCAAACATTCTGGCACTTTATCTGGCATACCTTCTGGCATTCTATCTGGCATATCTTCTGGCATTTTATCTGGCAAACATTCTGGCATATCTTCTGGCATTCTTTCTGACATTCTATCTGGCGTTCTATCTGGCATATCTTCTGGCATTCTATCTATCTGGCCGTTGAGGTCCAGCGGTGCACACTGAGCTGGGCAGGTCCCAGGTTGAGGTCCAGCTGTGCACACTGAGCTGGGAAGGTCCCAGGTTGAGGTCCAGCGGTGCAGACTGAGCTGGGAAGGTCCCAGGTTGAGGTCCAGCGGTGCCCACTGAGCTGGGCAGGTCCCAGGTTGAGGTCCAGCGGTGCAAAGTGAGCTGGGCAGGTCCCAGGTTGAGGTCCAGCGGTGCCCACGTTGAGGTCCAGCAGGTCCCAGGTTGAGGTCCAGCGGTGCCCGCTGAGCTCGGAAGTTGGCGAAGAGCTTGGCGAAGAGCTGGCAAGGCGGAAGTGAAGGTGGAAGTTGATGCAGACATGGTCGAGGAGAAACTGGAGGAGGAGGAAGAGGAGGAGGCGGAGGAGGAGAAGGAGGAGGAGAGCTAGCCCAGGAGGAAGAGGAGGGGAACAACTGTGATAAAATCTAACAACCCTCACCTGGCAGGTGGGGAAAAACTGTCTAGATTACTGTCTAGAATCTACTGGACTCTCATATGCAGCTTATTCAGGTTGAATCTCTTCTGAAAATGATTGAAATGCTACACTTCTATTTATCAAGACTTTTGGGTGAAACCGTCCAGTCAGAAGGTTGTTGCATGTGGCATCATGTAGACGCTCCAACGGTTTTTGGCCCGGCCTCTTTTTGGCTCGTGCTCAAAGTGCTTAACGGTTTCATGTGCGCATTAAGTGCCAGTAGTGCCGCACAAGGCGGTGGCAGAGGTTTCAAAAATAGGAAACCTATAGGACAGGTGAGTTGTCGTGAATCACGGATGGCAGAGCCAATCCACTGATGGACCGAAAGGTGGTTGGAATTGTGATTTTTGGAGTGATTGCAATAGTTGGAGTGGTCACCCCACCAACAACTGCTGGATGCAGTGTGGTGTAGCGCAGTTGTAGTTGTAGTGTAGCGGGGGCTGTAGTTGTGATATAGTGTAATTAGTTTCGTGTAGTTGCGGTTGCAGCTGTGTTGTGGTGTAATTAGTGTAGTGTAGTGTAGTGTGTTGCAGTCTTGTGTACTGTGGTGTGGTATGGTGTAGTGTAGTCTAGTGTCGTGTATTGTAAAGTAGTGTAGTTGTAGTCGTAGTGCAGTGTAGTGTAGTGAGTGCAGTGCAGCGTAGTCTAGTGTAATGTAGTGGTAGTTGTAGTTACAGTTGCAGCTGCAGTTGTAGTTGTAGAGTAATGCAATGTAGTCAGTGTAGTGTAGTGTTGTGTAATGTAGTGTGGTTGTCGTTGTAGTTGTAGTTGTATTTGTAGTTGTAGTGTGCTGCAGTGTAATTAGTGTAGTGTAGTGTAGTTGTAGTTGTAGTTGTGGTAGTAGTAGTTGTTGTTGTTGTTGTTGTTGGTGTAATTGGTGTAGTGTAGTGCAGTTAATGCAATTAGTGTAGTGTAGTGTAGTGTATTTAGTGTAGTGTAATGTAGCGTAGTATATCAGTATATTTGTAGTTGTAGCAGTAGTGTAGCGTAGTGGTAGTTGCAGTTGTAATTGTAATTGTCTATCTGTCTACCTATCGATCGATCTATCTATCTGTCTGTTCGTCTGCGTGTCTGTCTGTCTGTCTGCCTGCAAGCTTGAAAACGCAGCAATTCTGCGAGACTTCCTCAATTTTTGAACTTGACAACGTCAAAAACGAAAAAATTCTGCGAGACTTCCTCAGTTTTTGAACTTGACAACATCAAAAACGAAACAATTCTGCGAGACTTCCTCAATTTTCGAAGTTGACAACATCAAAAACGAAACAATTCTGCGAGACTTCCTTCGAAAATGGAAAGTTGAGTGCAGAGCTGACGGCCTCGTACCAATGCATTTTGCGATTTTTCAACTCCATCTGTCTAAAGTACTGCGCCTGCCACGAAAAAGACCAGATCATACGAAGTGCTGCACCTGTCACGCAAAATCATCTGCCCAAAACTGAAGATCTGATGCTCCAAAATGCAACCCCTCTCAGGAAATCAGCGCCCTTGATCATGAACATGTCTCTTGTACTGCGCCTGCCACGCGACATGCATCTTTCCAGATCCTCTTCAAACGACCCACGCCTACCATCGTTTTTGAAATTGCCACAAAACCCTCATGTTTTGCTCACTTTTGACAAGGTGCACAATCCCTTGCGCCTGCCACGCAAAAGGACATCTGAACGTCCAAAAGTGCTCCGTGCCCCTCAGTGTTTTACACTTTTGACTTCGAAATGTGCTTCGCGCCACAACAGCGTGCACTTTTTCGACATCGCAACTTCCAAAAGTGGTCCGAGCATGGTGTGTTTTTTACATTTTGACTTCGAAATGTGCTTCGCGCCACAACGGCGTGCACTTTTTCGACATCTCAACTTCCAAAAGTGGTCTGAGACTGTCAGTTTTTTACACTTTTGACTTCGAAATGTGCTTCGCGCCAGAACGGCGTGCAATTTTTCATCTCTCATCTGGCCAGCTGGCTCCGCACCCGCCGCTTTAGCGAGCCTACTTTTCGACCCTCCGCAGCCACAACAGTGTTTCGGGACTTTCCTGCCTTTTCGGGCACCTGGATCTTCTTTCTTCTGAGACTTTCTCTTTTTTGATCTTCTTTTTTCTTCTCCTCTCTTCTCTGACTCTTCCCATCTCTGCTTTTCATCCGTCCATATTGTCGGAAGTTTGACTTCTAAACTTCCTTCGATAAATGATTTGACAGATTTTGACAGTATAGAATACTGTATAGACATCATATGACAACAGAAAGTGAACAATTGTGAAGATGCTTCTGGTCAATGGCTGTGCCATCTCCCTTGGCACCAGGCGCAGCAATGGCAGCTAAGTGTTGACGAACGCAGGGGACCAACTTCGACAAGTGCTTGTTGCTATTGATGACCTGCAGAACTTCGCTACGAACCAAGGCTGATTTCCAGGGGACCCAGGGTCCATCTCTGAGAAGGGTATGCTGCCTCTTCAAATATGGATGATTGCTCAAAGATGTTCAGCCCAATCTGCACGCGGCATACAGACCTCTTCAAATTTCCTCTGTGTCAATTTGATGATTGAAGGTGATAGGCCTCGCGAGCTTTACTGGCAGCAGAGGCAGCATCCATGTGTTTCTGACCGTTGACTGCCTCCTGCCAGAGTTTTGGAAAGGTCTCGATTCGAGTCTCGATTATTTGTCATCATTGGCAATTTCTGCTGGCGTCTTTGGCACCAAAAAAGGTTAAAACCTCAACACACCTCACATTCAGTCCGGTCAACCCACCCTCATTCATGTCAAGCCCCATCGTTTTGATGCCAAATTGGCTTCACCCCTGCTGTTTAGAATGCTGCCCTGTCTCAACCCCATGCAACATTTTGTCCAATCAGTCAGAAGCAGCCGACCAACAATCTAGTAGTATATCAGTATATCTAGTATTGGAATTGAATTGACTAATTAATTGCATGGAAACAAAATGATCCCCCAAATCCACCAGAATGCTGGTCTTTGCAGAAAGTAGCCTTCCACATTTTCAGGTACGAGGGACGAGGGTACGAGTCCTCCGCTTCTGCTTGAGGCTCTTGCCCATGGACAACAAGCGCAGCCAGAGTGCCTTCAGGCCTCAGAGATCCAACGTTTCTTGCACCCAGAATAGGTGTGAAAATAGTGGGATCAGAAAGGGAAAAAGATGGAAAAAGTTTGCGATTTACATGTTCCATACATGTTCCATACATGTTCCATACATGTTCCATATATTTCCATACATTTCCATGTTTCATCTGTGGAATCCATTCGCCCCACTGAAGCTTTGAAAAACCAAGCTGTGCTGCCCGACGCGCGGTCCAGACTCGGTGGAAAGGACCATCTTTTGACCTCCAGATGGATTTGGTCATCAGCGATCCCAAAATCAAAACACCAGGGTTTATTGGAGAATGGGCTATGCCTTGCAAAATTACAGTTCCAACGGGTAAAATGATGATTCATTGATCAACCACCAAACTTCTCAATCTTTTGAATCCAGTTTGATCAATGGTGTTCTTCACTTTTCCCATGGCTTTTCAACACCCGCGCATGTCGACCCTCTGGGCACCTCGGGCACTTCACCCTCAAGTGCGTCCATGTCACCACTCTTCACCAGCTGGTCGATCACCTGCCAAGAGTGGATCCCCATTGGGGTTTCCATGATTTTTATATGATATTATGATATAAAGGGTAACAGGATGACGGATGTGAAAGGATGTAAAAGGTGCAAGAGAAATCAATATCCACTCATTTTCATTCAGTCTTGTTTGGATAGTGCACAGTGGGCAATTTTTGAGGTTTGCTCGACTGGAGAAGTCGGCCTTTCAACACTTTGTCAGATCAGCGGCATTCACACATTTGATTCTTTTCTGTGACTGGGCTTGGGTGCCAATGTGGCAGGTCAGGATAGAAACTGACCAAACTTTGCACATTGTATGGTCCCAGAAGGTACCATTCGCGGTTTGCTGAGGGCATGCTGCTGGAGGCAACAAGAACCTCGCAAGTGAAGCCCAATGGCAATGCACTGACTCCACCAAAATCTGATGAAAAATATGGGCAATCAAGCCAGAACTTTAGAATAAAAATGCATATGCAAAAAGCCGTTGCTTTTGCAGCTACACTGCAAGCTTGTGAAAAGTATTTAATTACAATAAAGCACCGTTGGTGCTTCGATGCGCTTTCAGCGCAGCACTGTTGCATTCTTAAACAATGCACCAAACATTTGCGTGTCGCACCTAGTAGAGGTGATCCTGTCCAGTAGCTCAACTTCATCAATTGCACCAAAAAGATCCAAAAAGCAAATATAGCTAAGGTATGCTAAGGTATGTTGAGGTAATCTACCTCTGCTTAGAAGTTTCAAACATCAGAATTTTCTGTTTGACCATCGCAATTTCCCACAGCCGTGCCTGTGTCCACCGTTCCTCTGGGTCCTGGGTCCCATGCCGAGGCGGATTGCGGCTTAGGCCCCATGCATCTTGTCCTTCAGCGAAGGAGCCACTGTGCTTTTACCGGTGACCAGCTTCGACTGAGAGGGGCTGCAACCCAAAAACCTTCGCTGGCAGCGCGAAGTTGCGAGGATTCTGCCTGGAATGATGACCTGGACATGAATAATGTTGGCTACTGATTAGTGTGGGGGGCCCCTCCCCCCCTCAACAATTTTAGGCTACTCAATAACTCGCCATTTTCTTGGGAACCAGTCCTGGTGGATTCAGGATGATCAACTTAAGTAAGGATTTCAATTGACATCAATCTACGTTCAATTGCTTTTCCTTTTAAACCTCAAAGAAATCTATTGATAAGAAAGGATTTCAATTGAAATCTATTTACTTTCAATTCATTTGAATCTACTTTCAATTGATTGTCTTTTTAAACCTCAAAGAAGTCTATTGATAAGAAAGGATTTCAATTGTAACCAATTTACTTTCAATTCATGTGAATCTACTTTCAATTGATTTTTCCATTTAAACCTCAAAGAAATCTATTGATAAGAAAGGATTTCACTTGAAATCAATTTACTTTCAATTCAATTGAATCTACTTTCAATTGATTTTCCTTTTAAATCCAAAAAATGCCCCAAAAAATTTTGTGCACAATAGGGTACCATCGAAACAATTACATTATTGACGATCTGGGTCACTCATGGGGTACCCCCTTGAAAAATTGTTTGGCTGCTGTTTTTTAATAGGGGTTTAATAAGGCATCTAATTAATCTAATTATGTGGGAAACCTTGCATTTTCAAGGCTTTAAGATGGATATGGTTTTCTAAAGTAAATGGACCAGTTTTTACCCAAAGAAAGGTGAATAAAGGTGGATAAAATTTTTCCTGAAAAAAATTGGATCTGAGAAAAAAACACAATAGAGGCCCACCCCCACATCCACAAGATACTCAATAATTTTGGAAAAAACCGCAATAGAGGTTCATCACACTAATCGGTAGCCAACATTAGACTGTTTGATGAATCAGTGTGTGGACTATCAAAGACCTGAAAACTCCTTTAACTATCTTGAAATACCCTCATGGTCTACATTTTTCCAAATGAAAGACACAGTCTATATTCCAAACGCCATGACATATTTAGATGAGGATGATGGCCATGTCTATATCATCACCTTCCTGCTACAAGTAGCAGCAACTCAAGTGAACCAGCCGGAAATGTTCAGCCGGGACTCTCCACACGTCCGGACTTCAAGTCATAGACTCCCCCATGGATCTCCAACTCGCCGCTGGAAACCTGCCAAATTCTGCAAGAAACCCAAGTGCTATACTTGAAATCGTTAGATGATACTACAAATATTGCCTAATTACATTCATACATACAAACATACATACATACATTACATTACATTACCTTACCATACATTACATTACATTACACTACATTACATTGCATTACATTACATTACATACAACACATACATTACATACATTACATTACATTACATACATTACATACATTACATACATTACATACATTACATACATTACATACATTACATACATTACATTACATTACATACATTACATACATTACATACAATACCAACATACACAACATACATACCATACATACCATACATACCATACATACATACATGCATGCATGCATACATGCATACATACGTACTTACGTAAATTACGTACATTACATACATTACCTACATACGTGCATTACGTACATTCCGTACATTACGTACATTACGTATATTACGTACATTAAATACATGACATACATGACATACATGACATACATGAATACCTACATGAATACCTACATACATACATACATACATACATACATACATTACAATACAACAATGACATACATACATGACATACATACATGACATACATACATACACATACATACATACATACATACATACATACATACATACATACATACATACATACATACCTACATACCTACATACCTACATACCTACATACCTACATACCTACATACATACACACACACATACATACATACATACATACATACAGACATACACACATACATAAATACATGCATGCATACATCCATGCATGCATACATACATACATACATGCATACATACATACATACAGTACAAACAGTACATGCATTACATACATTACATACATTAAATACATTACATGCATTGCATACATTACATACATTACATACATACATACATACATACATACATACATTAAATACATTACATACATACATAAATACATACATGCATACATGCATACATACATACATACATTCATAACATACAAAACATTAAATAACATCACATAACATTGCATAACACTACATTACATAACATTACATACCATTACATTACTTAACATTACATTACATAACATTCCACAACATTACATTACATTACATTACATTACATTACATACGTACATTACATCACATTACAAAACATTACATAACATTACGTTACATAACGTTACATTACATGACATTACATGACACAACATTACATAACATTAAATACCTTAACATTACATTACATTACAAAACGTTACATTACATAACATTACAAAACATTACATTACATGACATTACATGACATTACAAAACACAACATTGCATAACATTAAATACCATAACATTACATTACAGTACAAAAAATTACATACCATTACATAACATTACATAACATTACAACATATTACATCACATTACAAAACCTTACATCACATAACGTTACATAACATTACATTACATACATTACATTACACTACATTACATTACAATACATTACATTACATACCATACATACATACATACACACACATACACACATACACACATACACACATACACACATACAGACATACACACATACACACATACACACATACATACATACATACATACATCAATCCATGCATGCATGCATGCATACATTAATTACATACATACATTACATTACATTACATTACATTACATTAAATTACATTACATTACATTAAATTACATTACATTACATTAATTACATTACATTACATTACGTTACATTACATTACATTACATCAAATTAAATTGCATTGCATTACATTGCATACGCACAAACACACATACATACATACATACATTGCATTGCATTCCGTTACATTGCATTCCATTACATTACATTACCATACACAGATACATACATACATACATACGTACATACGTACATACGTACATACGTACATACGTACATAGGTACATACGTACATACGTACATACGTACATAAGTACATATCTTACTTACATACTTACCTTAATTACATACACACCTTGTTTACAAACATACACTGATTAAAAACATACGTACCTTTAGTACATACATACCTTAGTAGCATACACATAAATACATACATACATACATCCAACCATGCATACACACATACAGACATACATACATACATACATACATGCATACATACATGACATACATGACGTACATTACATACATGACATTCATGACATACATGAGAAACATGACATACATGACATTCATGACATACCTGACATACATGACATTCATGACATACATGGCATACATAACATACATGCCATACATGACATACTTGCATGACATTACTTACATTACATTACATTGCATTGCATTGCATTACATTACATTACCTTAGTTTACCTTACATACATACATACATACATTACATACATCACATACATGACATACATCACATACATTACATACATTACATACAATACATACATTACATACATTACATACATTGCATACATTACATACATTGCATACATTGCATTACATTACTTTACCTTACATAACATACATACATACATACATACATGCATGCATGCATGCATACATGCATACATACGTACTTACGTAAATTACGTACATTACATACATTACCTACATACGTGCATTACGTACATTCCGTACATTACGTACATTACGTATATTACGTACATTAAATACATGACATACATGACATACATGACATACATGACATACATGAATACCTACATGAATACCTACATACATACATACATACATACATTACAATACATACAATACATACATACAATACATACATACATACATACATACATACATACATACATACATACATACATACATACATACATACATACATACATACATACATACATACATACATACATACATACATACATACATACTACATACATACATACATACATACATACATACATACATACATACATACATACATACATACATACATACATACATACATACATACATACATACATACATACATACATACATACATACATACATACATACATACATACATACATTACATACATACATACATACATACATGGCATGGCATGGCATGGCATGGCATGGCATAGCATAGCATAGCATAGCATAGCATTAGCAAGCATATCATACATACAATACATACAATACATACTTACAGTACATACAATACATACAATACATACAATGCACACAATACATACAATACATACAAGGCATACAAGACATACAAGACATACAAGACATACAAGACATACAAGACATACAAGACATACAATACATACAATGCATAGAATACATAGAATACATAGAATACAGAGAATACATACAAGACATACAATACATACAATAAATACAGCACATAACAACACATAACAACACATAACAATACATAACAATACATTACAATACATAACAATACATAACAATACATAACAATACATTACATTACAACACAATACAATACAATACAACAAAACACAATACAATACATTACAATACGTTACAATACATTACAATACAATACAATACAGCAAAACAAAACACAATACAATACAATACAAGACAATACAATACATTACATTACATTACATACCATACATACATAGTTTAATCACACATACATTTCCCAAAAGCATCTCCTATGCTTGGGTTCTCGTTTAGTTTACTTTGCCGCGGGGGGAGCGACACTTCAGCGACGACAGGGTGGACAGACGGGAAACCATGGGAAATAGCTTGGGGAGAGCTCCGGTGGCAAGGAGCGAGACGGAAGCGTGGACATGGTGGACGGACAGGAAACCGTGGGAAATAGCTCGGAAAGCTTCCATGGGAGGGTGCGACGAAACGGAGGCGACGACAGGGTGGACGGACGGGAAATTGAAGGTGTGCGAAATAGCTCTTGGGCAGAGCTCCGTTGGGAGGGAGCGACACGGAAGTGACGACAGGGTGGACGGACGGGAAAAAGTGGGAAATAGCTTGGGGAAAGCTCCGTTGGGAGGGAGCGACACGGAAGCGACGACAGGGTGGACGGACGGAAACCGTGGGAAAAAGCTTGGGGAGCGAGCTGGGTTGGGAGGGAGCGACACGGAAGCGTGGCCATGGTGGACGGACAGGTAACCGTGGGAAAGAGTTTGGGAAGAGCTCCGTTGGGAGGGAGCAATATACGGAAGCGACGACAGGGTGGACGGATGGGAAACGGTGGGATAGCTTGGGGAGAGCCCCGTTGGGAGGGAGCCACGCGGAAGCGTGGAAGCGACGACAGGGTGGACGGACGGGAAACCGTGGGAGGAAAGGTGCGTTGGAAGGGAGCAACACGGAAGCAGAATCTAGAGCTGTTGGCACGGGTTTTCAGGACAAATTACATCAATGCGATTGTGCCGAAAACTGTGGGCCCAAGACTTGTCAAGCGGTGTGCAAACACTGCGCGATGGAACATGCATAACTTCGTTGGCAGGGAGCAAGGCTAAAAGAGCAGAGCTGTTGGCACGGGTTTTTCAGGACAAATTCCATCAATGCGATTGCGCCGAAAAACTGTGCGCCCAAGACTTGTCAAGCGGTGTGCAAGCACTGCGCCATGGAACATGCATAGCTTCGTTGGCAGGGAGCAAGGCTAGAAGAGCAGAGCTGTTGGCACGGGCTTTTCAGGACAAATTCCAACAATGCGATTGCACCGCAAAACTGTCCGCCCAAGACTTGTCAAAAGCGGCGTGCAACCAACATACATACATTACATTACATTACTAACATTACATTACATTACATTACATTACATTACACTACATTACATTACATTACATACATACATACAGACTTCCATGCGTGCATGCATGCATACATACATACATACGTACGTACATACATACATACATACAGACTTCCATGCGTGCATGCATGCATGCATGCATACATACATACGTACGTACATACATACATACATTACATACATTACATACATTACATACATTACATACATTACATACATTACATACATTACATACATTACATACATTACATACATTACATACATTACATACATTACATACATTACATACATTACATACATTACATACATTACATACATTACATACATTACATACATTACATACAGCATACATACATACATTACATACATTACATACATTACATACATTACATACATTACATACATTACATACATTACATACATTACATACATTACATACATTACATACATTACATACATTACATACATTACATACATTACATACATTACATACATTACATCATACATACATTACATACATTACATACATTACATACATTACATACATTACATACATTACATACATTACATACATTACATACATTACATACATAATACATACATACATTGCATACATACATACATTCCATTACATTACATACATACAAACATACATACATACATACATTACATACATACATACATACATTACATACATTACATACATACATACATTACATACATACATACATACATACATTACATACATTACATACATTACATACATTCATACATTGCATACATACATACATACATACATACATACATACATACATACATACATACATACATACATACATACATACATACATACATACATACATACATACACATACATACACATACATACATACATACATACATACATACATACATACATACAGCATACATACACATTACATACATACATACATACATACATACATACATACATTACATTACATACATACATTACATACATACATACATACATACATACATACATACATACATACATACACATACATTACATCACACTACATTACATTAAATTACATTAAATTACAAAACGGTACGTACATTACATTACATTACATTACATTATATTACATTACATTGCATTACATTACATTACATTACATTACATACATTACATTACGTTACATTACGTTACATTACATGCAAACATTACATTACATTACCTCACATTACATCACATTACGTAATTACATTACATTACATTACATGACATACACATGTACATATACCTAGAAGAACCCTTAGGCACTTTTTTCTGCCCTCGGCGCCTAGGCAGCCGCATAGGCACTTTCACCCGGAAGTTTGCAAAACTCGGCAGATTTATATTGATGTAGGCATTTTTATCTCAAGATGTTTTTTGTGCTCCGACATCATTTTGTGCCTAGGCATTTAGCGGAATTAGGCAGAATTTGGTTCGAAACATTTTTCTGCACTGAACAACATGACAAGACCATACAAAAAATTATCAGCCTCGGCATTTTTTTGGGGCCTCGGCCTAGGCATTTATTCTGGGAATCGGCATAGATAAACGCCTACAGGCAGGTTAGGCACTTTTTTCTGCCTAGAGGAGTTTGCAACTATATACATATATCATATATCATCACATAACCCCAGCTTTGAACCAGTACTCTGTTTGGAAGTTTAGGACCAGCCCGAATGCGGCCAGCCAATGCCAGAAGAACAGCAGAGGACGCCTTCTCACGGATGGGTTCGCTGTGCCTCAAATATGACAGGGAAATCAATTGTCTGTGATTTTTTGTGATTTAAAATCTGCGAAAAACATGTGCGGCAAAAACGCGCATTGAGTCAACCCTGTTCTTCTGTGTTCCTTCTGGTCAGAAACATTTGAGCATCTGCCACCCGTTCTATCCAAGCGACTGCATGAGGAAATTCATGGTATGGAAGACGTTGAGCTTCACAGCGAGTGCTGCGACTTCCTCCGCTGTCGCCTGCGCCAGCCCATTGGATTTACACCGCAGGTTGAGCATGAAAACCAATGCGCTGTTGGGAGCTGGGAGCTGATGCGTGTTTGTCATTTTCACATTGTTTAGTGCGAAAACTTGCCTGCAAATTGGGACTTCAGATGCCTGAAATGTTGCCCCTGAACGGTGGCGCGAGCTGACCGCATCCGAGTGCTCCGAGTATACCCCACCATGCCCCACCTTGGCACCAGCTTCCGCCACTGCCTGGGCCACCACGGTGTCCAGGCCCTTCAGAAGTACATCCAAGGCATTGTTGGCCTTGTTGGGTCAACGACTAAGCAAAAGGCTAACATTAGGCCAAAGACCTGCGCACACAAGTAATGATTCAAATCCAAATTCTGGTGACACAATCCTTTGGTTGCAACTTTCTTTCTGTAAGCCAGGGCTCTCCTTCTAATCACACCATTCCTTTCGTTGCAACCTTTCGGTAAGCAGTGGCTCCCCTTCTAATCGATCACAACATTCCTTTCGTTGCAACCTTCTTTCCGTAAGCAGTGGCCCCTTTCTTCGTTGTTCCCTTCAGCAAGGGCTCTCCTTCTAATCATAGCAATCCCGCAGCTGCGCTGCTATGCTGGTGCGCTGGTCCGCTGCTACGCTGGTACGCTGGTACGCGGCTACGTTGCCACGCTGGGATGCTGATACGCTGATACGGGATTCTTGGACGCTGCATGACGCTGCTATACGATGCTATACGCTGCTATTCGCTGGTATGCTGGTATGCTTGTATGCTTGTATGCTGCTGCACTGGCACGCTGCTACGCTGATATAACGGTCCAACCGGTGTCGCGCAGAATGCTGGACACTACTTGCGGCAGCACTGAAAATCTGTGTCCAGTTCACAAGATTTTTGAAATCACGGGTCGCGGATATTCAAACACCACAGAAATCCACAGAAACAAAAATACCAGGATCAGCTCCAATAATCAAGTCCCAAGGTTGAAGTCTAAAATGCCCGAAATCAGGCTATCTTTTTGCCAACCTCTGCCTTCTGCAAGGGAAATCTGAATATAGAAGTCTGCTCTAGAACAACTGAGTCACCTGTGTTGGTTTCTTCTTGGCCGCAAAGTATGCTGCCGTCGCCCCCTTGATGGCACCGCAGTTGGTATGTCCCAGCACAAAGATCAGCTTAGTGTTGAGGGCCCCGGTGCAGAACTCCAAGCTGCCCAAGATACTTCCCTCAGCGTGTGCGCAGGTGTTTCCAGCGTTACGCAGAACGAACAAATCACCGGGGAGAGCATCGAAGAGTGTCTCCAGAGGACAGCGGGAATCCGCGCAGCCCACGATGGCCGTGTGGGGCGCCTGACCTTTGGTTGCCAAAGCCTCGCACATGCTGCGATGCACCTTTCCAGCAGCAGGAACGCCCGCCACGAAGCGCTCGTTTCCCTCTTTCAGGGTCTGCAGGGCCAACCTTCAACGAAGGGTCAGGATCAACCACAGACACAAATCTTGAAGATCATCACGAATGATCATGAATCATACGCGAAGGAAGTTTAGAAGTCAAACTTCCGACAATATGGGCTGATGGAAAAGCAGAGGTGGGAAGAGTCAGAGAAGAGAAGAGAAGAGAAGAGAAGAGAAGCTTAGCGGAGAGGAGGAGAGCAGAAGAGAAGAGAAGAGAAGAAGAAAGACGATCAGAGAAGAGAAAGAGTCAGAAGAAAGATCAGAAGAAAGAGTCAGAAGAAAGAGTCAGAACAAAGAGTCACAGAAGAAAGGGTCAGAAGAAAGAGTCAGAAGAAAGAAGATGCAGGTGCGCGAAAAGGTAGAAAAGTTGCGATTCACTGTGTTTTCCTCATGATTTGTGGCTCCAGAGGGTCGCAAAGTAAGCTCGCTAAAGCGGCGGGTGCAGAGCCGTCTGGCCAGATGAAAGTCGTTGTGGCACGCCGTTGTGGCACGAAGCACATGTCGAAGTCAAAACGTACAAAGCACACCATTCTGGGAGCACTTTTGGAAGTTGAGATGATGAAAAAGTGCCGGTGCAAAGCACATTTCGAAGTCAAAAGTGTAAAAAACTGACAGTCTCAGACCACATTTGGAAGTTGAGATGGTGAAAAAGTGCACGCCGTTGTGGCGTGAAGCACATTTCGAAGTCAAAAGTTTTAAAAACTGACGAACCCGGACCACTTTTCGAAGTTGAGATGTTGAAAAAGCGCACGCCATTGTGGCGCGAAGCACATTCCAAGTCAAAAGTGTAAAACACTGAGGGGCACGGAGCACTTTTGGACGTTCAGATGTCGTTTTGCGTGGCAGGCGCAAGGGACTGTGCACCCTGTCAAGAGTGAGCAAAACATGAGGGTTTTGTAGCAGTTTCAAAAGCGTTGGCAGGCGTGGGACATTTGAAGATGATCTGCAAAGATGCATTTTCCGTGGGAGGCGCAGTACAAGAGACATGTTCAGCAGAGATGGCCACCCACCACGCAGCCAGCCAGCCACGCAGCCAGCCCTCTAGCCAGCCACCCAACCCCAGCCAGCCAGCCACCCAGAGCCAGCCAGCTTAGGAATAATGATGAGACTCTGTGCGCGTGGAGAAGATTCGCCATTCCGTGAAGGTATGTGAAGGTAGCCAGGGATCATCGGGTTTGGCCCTAGTGAGGCCAATGCAATCCCAAACGATCCCAAAAGAAACATTCATAATCGTGATTTTTGGGGGTATGATTCGGGGGTATGATTGGGAGGTATGATTCGCGGGTATGATTCGGGGGTATGATTCGCACAACTCGAACATCCTGCCTTTACTAAAATCTGCGCACGTTAAAAAAAGACACAGAAGTCTCGTAGAATTGTTTCGTTTTTGACGTTGTCAAGTTAAAACATTGAGGAAATCTCGCAGAATTGCTGCATTTTCGATGTCAAGTTAAAACATTGAGGAAGTCTCGCAGGATAGCTTCGTTTTCAAGCTTGCGTCAGTGTAGTCTAGTGTAGTGTAGTGTCAAGTGGTGTATAGTTGTAGTTGTAGCTGTAGTTGCAGGGTAATGTAGTGTAATTAGTGTAGTGTAGTGTAGTGTAGTGTAATGTAGTTCTAGTTGTAGTTGTGGTTGTAGCTGTAGGTGTAGTATAGCGTAGTGTTATGTAGTGTAGTTGTAGTTATTATTGTAGTTGCAGCTCCAGGTGTAGTGTAGCGGCGTAGCGTAGTGTAGCGTAACTAGTGTAGTGTAGTGTAATGTAGTGTAGTTCTAGTAGTAGGTGTAGTTGTAGTTGTAGTTGTGATTGTAGCTGTAGCTGTAGGGTAGTGTAGTGCTATGTTTGTTGTGTAATGTAGTTGTAGTTGTAACTGTCTATCTATGTATCTGTCTGCAAGCTTGAAAACTACACTACAGTACACAACACTACAGTACACTGCACTACAGTACATTACACTACACTAATTAAACCACACCGCAACTACAACTGCACTGCAACTACAACTACACTACACTAATTGCATACACTACAGCCACAACTCCACTAAACTACGCTACAACTACAACTGCACTACACCACGCTACATCCAGCAGTTGTGGGTGAGGTGACCACGGCAACTGCAACCATTGCAAACGCTCCAAAAAAAAAACACAACTCCGACCATCTTTCGGTCCATCAGTGGATTCGCTCTGCCATCCATGCAACACAACAACTCGCCACCGCCTTGTGCGGTACTACTGGTATCTGGTATATGTTACAAAATCATGGATTTACTTGGCATGCTGCATGATACCTAACGTTGATACTATTTACTGCGTCATCGATCGCAAATCGTGAACCATATTATGTTGAAATGGGCCGAACTCCAACAATTTGAACTGTTTATGACATGGACATGGTGATGGCTAAAAAACTTCTCACACCATCCACAGTTCCCATGCGGCAAGTGACTTGGGCGCCACGATTCCATCTTGAGATGTGCGGACGGCACCAAGGGCCATGGATGGTGGCAGCGACAGATCCGACGACAACAGCTCCGCTTGGCGTGGGGATTGACCCAGAAACTCCACTCGGCCAGTCTCGAGGTGATAGATGCCACCCTGGATGTCCAACTCTCCCTTGCGGACCAATTCACGCAATGGCTCGCTGAACTTCAACAGGAAATCCATGGAATGGAAGACGTTCACCTTCACAGCATGCGCCACCAGCTCTTGCTGGGAAGCACCTGGGCCCAGCTGTTCACTGGCATCCTTCGCCACCACGGCAAGACCCTGCAACAAGCCCTCCAAAGCGCAGCCAGGCGCATTGGTGGCTCCTGCTTGGTGGGTCGCAGTGGCCCCAGCAATGGCACCACACTGGGTGTGTCCCAAGACCAGAATCAACTTGCTGCCCAGCTTGCCGGTGCAGAACTCCAATGAGCCAACGATGGATCCCTCCGCATGCGTGCACGTGTTCCCAGCATTCCTCAAGACAAACAGCTCTCCAGGCGTTGCGTCGAAGACCGTGTCGACCGGGACGCGAGAGTCGGCGCAGCCAAGAATGGCACTGTGAGGCGCTTGGTTGTGTTTCACCAACGCCTTGCGCATGGCATCCGAAGTCTTGCCAGCAGTTGGGGCACCGGCAGCAAAGCGCTCGTTGCCCTTCTTCAGCATCGACAACGCCAAGTCGGACGGCACCCTTTCATCTGCACCGGTGCGCACACCATGCAAACCTCGCCCCTCCTCTGTGACCATGGAAGGTGGGATGGCCATGCTGCTGTCCAGCAATTCTTTCTGCAAAGGAGACTGGCCCAGAAACTCCACAGATCCAGTCTCCAAATGGTAAATGCCACCTGAGCCACTGTTTTGACCACTCCGGGCCCCTTCACTGGTTTCAAGATATTTCATGACATCCTGCATGACATTGACTGGCAACCCCCAACGAGCCCTAATGGACAATCATCAGTTGGAGTTATATCCCCCTGCCGGGGGGCTCTGCATGTTTGAAATGTGGTTACACCTGGTTAGATATTTCATTTGTCCAAACATGATTGCAAATACACCGCTGCAATAAATTTACCATTCTGTCTCCATCAACCAAAAAGAGTGTTTGTTCGATCATGTTTTGACCCTGACTATACAGAGCTATAGGGGACAACTGGCCACTGCTCACCTTGGATCTGAACTTGTCCAGTCTTAACCATCTCGCGGATGCTCTCGCTGAAGCGCAAGAGAAAGTTCATGGTGTGGAACACATTCACCTGTCAAAACTCACAAAAGACTTGCTTGTGGCTGAGCCACCCATCACATTAGGTTTAATCAATTATCTAGACTCTAGACTCAAAGGAACTGCTCTGGCAGGTGTCCGGGCTGGTAAACGAGAAAAAAGGGGCTTTGGTAGTGTCGTGAAACGGTTTGGTGGTGTGGTGAAGGGGTATGGTGACCCAGTGGTGGGGTGCGGTGGTGGATCGGTGGGGTGTGCTGGGGTTGTGAACGGGAGTTCACGTGACCGTCGTTGTACTCGCCCCTCCAAAAACATAGAGGGTTCCGGCGCCTTCAAATCTAGATAATTCATCAGGTTAAAAGGTGGCAACCTAAGATAGCAATACAATATTCATCCATATTCACCAACCAACGATGTTCAATTTCTCAAGAACCAATGACAAGTAGTGCCAGGCAAACTGGGGGCGGAAATTTCAAAATTGAAGCGCTTATGGCCTATAGAGCGGAAGAAAAAATGTGCCTTCCTGTGCTTCGCAGCAACAATCTCTTGACTTGTGACTTGTCATTCCGGACCTTTTCTCATTTCATCTCATCGCATCGTATCCATGTGCAACTCTTGGAAGTTGCTCATTGCATCCCATTGCCACCACGGTCTGTGTCATCTCATCTCATCTCATCTCGTGTCGTGTCTTCTCAGTGTTTTTCACTCATCTCATATCATCATCTCATCTCCATCTCATCTCTCCTTTTCTCAGCCCTTCTCAGCTGATCACAACTGTTTTCATCTCTTTTCATGTCATCTGAGCTTTTCTCATCTCTTCTCATCTGAACTCTTCTCTTTCAGCTCTTCTAAGATTCTTTAGCTTTTCACAGCTCATGTCAGCTCATCTCATCTCTTCTCTCCTGTTCTCACATCTTGTAAGCTCTTCTCACATCTTCTCAGCTGATCTCAGCTCTTGTCAGCTCTCCTCAGCCCTTCTCTGGCTTAAAACCTGCTGCAAAACCGATCTCGGCCAAAACCACGAAATGTAAAAACTCAATTACTTTACTTCGAGTGATCCCCACCATGACATTTATACGTTTTGTTACTGGAAAATCTTCTGGCATTCTATCTGACATATCCTCTGGCATTCGATCTGGCATTCTATCTGCCATATCTTCTGGCATTCTACCTGGCATATCTTCTGACATTCTTTCTGACATTCTTTCTGGCATTCTATCTGGCATATCTTCTGACATTCTTTCTGGCACTCTATCTGGCATATATTCTGATAGTCTTTCTGGCATATCTTGTGGCATTCAGAACATTCTTTCTGGCATATCTTATGACATTCTTTCTAGCATATCTTCTGACATTCTTTCTGACATTCTATCTGGCATATCTTCTGACATTCTTTCTGGCATATCTTCTGACATTCTGTCTGGCATATCTTCTGACATTCTTTCTGACATTCTTTCTGGCATTCTATCTGGCATATCTTCTGACATTTTATCTGACATCTTTTCTCACATTCTTCCCGTTGAGGTCCGGCAGTGCCCACTGCGATCTGGAAGTCGCGGTTGAGGTCCGGCAGTGCCCACTGCGATCTGGAAGTCGCGGTTGAGGTCCGGCAGTGCCCACTGCGATCTGAAAGTCGCGGTTGAGGTCCGGCAGTGCCCACTGCGACCTGGAAGTCGCGGTTGAGGTCCGGCAGTGCCCACTGCGATCTGCAACTCGCAGTTGAGGTCCGGCAGTGCCCACTGGGATCTGGAGCTCGCGGTGGAGGTCCGGCTGTGCCCACTGGGATCTGGACTGCGAGGAGGAGACGGCGGGTGAGGAGGCGGAGGAGGCAGAGGAGGCGGAGGAGGCGGAGGAGGAGGAGAACAGCTCTGATAAAATCTAACAACCCTCACCTGGCAGGTGGGGAATTAAAAGGAAAACGGAAAGCGTCAAAAACGAGAAACATCATCGAATGCGATTTGTAATCAGCAAATTTTTAAAAAACATTGAACTACGTGCACACTAGCAGCATAGAGCAAAAGTGACGCAGCCACTCCAATGCGATTTGCAAGCATCGAGTTGCAAAACACGATAGAACTACACGTGTAACAGAAACGCATAGCAACATTGACGAGGCCACCCCAATCCGATTTACACGCGACGAACTGCAAAAGACCATGGAACTACGTGCGCAGCAGCAAGGCAAAGCAACTGTGACGCAGCCACTCCAACGCAAGTTGCAGCACCAGGTTACAGAAGGCAAAAGAAATTTATTCCTATAGTCAGTTCCAAAACCGGATGTGGGCACCGAAACCGAAAAAAGTACGAATTTGAAGCCTTTTTAAAACAAATCCTAAGGATAATGAAAGGCGCCAAAATCGATAAAAACATCAAAGCTCATTGCCGCAACCGTGTCGCAATTGAATGCTAACTTCAGTTTGTGAAAGCAAACTTTCGTGCGAGACCTCTGTCAAAAAGTGAAAGTTGATGTCCCTATCGGTGCTTGGTGGGAGGGGGGTGGGACCCCAGGATTATTATTTTTATTAAATGGGGTCCCCTGCAGTATTGTTTTTTCCAAAATTCATCAGTCAATGTATTCATCAGTCAGTCATTGTTACTAACATGGGAAATTAATCCAGCACAATCCAGTTCAGGTCCCCCCCAGCTCAAAATGAAACAAACTACTTGAAGTACACGCTGCTAAAGTGGCCATAACCCCAAGCTACTCAGGGACTTCCAGTACTGCACCACCCCTTGTTTAATTGAACAGTGCACAATGCATCCAAAGAAATGAAGTGCACAAAGTTCCAAGTAAATTCAACAAACAACAAATATAACATGATATAACAGATGAAAGCAATGGTGTTACAAATTGGGAATGCCCAATGCCATTCCCATCATGTTCCACTTCTGATTCCAGAACGAAGAATCGACACGCATGAACAATCAATCATGCACTGTTTCCTGTCTGCCCCACCCCAGGTTTAATATCTCAAAAATAAATGTGACCAATCATTGGGCATTGACTGCAGTCAATTGGTAACAGCTGAAATTAAACCATGGGGTGGGTCACATCTCAAAATTAAACCAACTCAACTTTCTTCAGAATCTTAAGGAGGTGGGTGGACCCCCTGTTTTCGTAACATTTTTAAATTAAACCAAAAAAATTAAACCATAACTCAGTGTCCACCTGGTTTAACTTAGCCAGCGCAAGGGATATGAAAGTTGAAGATGTGAAAACGAAGCTCTCATGCGAGACCTCCGCCCAAAAGTGAAAAAACTGAAGATGTGAAAACGAAGCTTTCATGCGAGCCTTCCACGGAAAACTGAAAGCTGAAGATGTGAAAACGAAGCTCTCATGCGAGACTTCCCTCCAAAAGTGAAAACTGAAGATGTGAAAACGAAGCTTTCGTGCGAGACTTCCATCATGAAGATGTGAAAACGAAGCTCTCGTGCGAGACTTCTCTCACAAAGTGAAGTTGGAAGATCTGAAAAAGAAGCTTTCGTGCGAGACTGACTTCAAAAACTGAGAACTTCAAGTCGGCAAAACGGCACATAAAACGGCGGTTACAGTGCGGGAACGAACCATGATCGAAGCATGATCCACCCCCGCGTCTCGCAAAAAACGCCGCGCAGCAGACCTTCCCCGTCCATCTTCCGAGGCACGTTGTCGCGCACCTGCTATCTCTCAAAAGCGCATTTTGTGCGAGACTTCCCTCAAAAAGTGAAAGTTGAAGATGTGCCAACGAGGCTTTCGTGCGCTTCCCTCAAAAAGTGAAAGTGGAAGATGTGAAAACGAAGCTTTCGTGCCAGGTTTCCCTCAAAACGAACCTTTCGTGCGAGTCTTCCCTCAAAAAGTGAAAGTTCAAGATGTGAAAATAAACTTCGTAGGAAGCTTCCATCAAAAACTGACAACTTCAAGTTGGCAAGACGACGCTTAGAGTGCGGGGGCGATTGGGCCGCAGCATGATCCGCCCCTAGCCGAACGCGTCTCGCGCACTGGACACGCCACGCCGCGCGACAACCCTCCCCGTCCATCTTCCGAGGCACGTTTTCTGCTGCAAAACACAGCACTTTGTGCATCCGCTATCCGCTATCTCTCACTACGCATTTCGTGAGAGGCTTCCCTCAAAGAGCCAAAGTTGAAGATGTGAAAACTAGGCTTGCGTGCGAGACTTGACTTATGACGAGGCTTGCGTGCGAGACTTGACTTCCCTCAAAGTGAAAGGTGAAGTTGTGAAAACGAAGCTTTCGTGCGAGACCTTCCTCAAAAACTGAAAGATGGACCTTTTTCTGTGAGGCTTCTTTGCTGTGTGACTCCTTTGCTGTGAGACTTCTTTTGCTGTGGGACTTCTTTGCTGTGAGACTTCTTTGCTGTGAAGCTTCTTTGCTGTGAGGCTTCGCTGTGAGACTTCTTTGCTGTGTGACTTCTTGGCTGTGAGACTTCTTTGCTGTGTGACTCCTTTGCTGTTGCTGTGGGACTTCTTTGCTGTTGCTGTGAGATTTCTTTGCTGTGAGACTTCTTTGCTGTGAGATTTCTTTGCTTTGAAACTCCGTAACTCGGAAGCAAAGACTTCTAAACTTCGTGTGATGTAAAAAATTGACTATAGAGTGATCGTGAATGAGGATACAGAAGGCGTCCTCAAATCCTCATGCTTCCATATAGCTTCGACCTGTGACCATCTCCTCTCACCCGGCCTTTACAGCATGGGCGGCCACTTCATCCGAGCTGGCACCCGGTCCCAGCTCCTGCGCGGCTTCTTGGGCCACGGAGCCAAGATCTTGAAGAAGTCCCTCCAATGCGCATCCTGCCACCTCCAGCGTTGCCATGTGTTGCCATGTGCCACCCCTTGTTTATATAAATATCAAAAAGGAAAGGGCAGAACAACATCCTAGAGAGCCTCTGCTTATCACTTTTTATTTTTGTCAAGTGAGGCTGTAAAACACCTGCCTTCTTTCCTGGCTGCGAATCCAAGTAGGTCTTTGTCGCTCCGTAAATGGCTCCGCACTTGGTGTGGCCCAAGACCAAAATCAAACGGCTGCCGAGCTTTCCGGTGCAGAACTCCAAACTACCAACCATCGATCCTTCCGCATGTGTGCACGTGTTTCCGGCGTTCCGCAGCACGAAAATGTCACCTGGATAATTGATGGGAGTATTGGACAGAAGATAATTTAAAACTCGGCGGCATCATGCGATGAATCGCATTATGGAATCACAAGGGGGCCAAAAGGAAAAGAGCTGCCACTAACTGTTCCTGTTCATTGTGAGTTGACACCATGAAAATATAAGTAATATTACCAAACTGCGGAAGATGTGGAGCGTAGGCTTGGAAATCTTTGGAATCATGTTGCCGTGCCTGGCATGGTGTCGAAAATGGTTTCCAGCGGGGCGCGGGAATCGGCGCAACCGATGATGGCGGTGTGAGGTGCCTGACCATCCTCCACCAGCTGCTGACGCGCTGCCTCCTTGGTCTTGGAACCCCAGGGACAGCCATTCACGAAGCGACGGTTGCCCTCCTGGCGATGAGATTGTGGTGATGTCAGCCGTCTGTTTCAACACACAGCATTTGCAATGCACCGCCAATCATATTCACGCTCTTTCTGACATGCCCGAACCAGAGTATTGCCAACCAGGCAAGCACAAGCTGTGAACAAAGCGAAAACATCCGAAAACAGATTTTGGATTGTTTTGGCTTGCTTTCCTCCCAGCATGCTGGTTGGTGCTGCCCCTTTCCCCGTGCCCTGTCCTTCAACAGCTTCATAGCCTCTTCAGGGGCCATGGGCGGATCGATAGTGGTTCGGACCTGCCGTTCCACTGGCTGAGAGCACAGGTTCATGGCGTCGGTCAGTTGGCTGATGAAGGAAGCCATGGCGACCTCAGTGCCGTGCTGATTCGCTCCTCATCTTGATACCTGTGATGATCACACCAAATGTCTGTCTCATGAGAACTCTCATCTAGGTCGGTTCTTGGAAGGACACAAGTCACTTTCTGACTTTACACTTTGCAAGTTCAAAAGCTCTTGAAAAGCTTCATACTGAGGTCTACACGTTGAAGCGCGACGATTAAGGCTTGTGGGACACGCGGGGATTGAGCAAATGCTTGGATGCAAATTCAGGCATCAGATTGATCCTTGATACACCCATGAGAGTAATTCTGAGGCTGGGTTTGGTGAGTTACTTTAGATGTGTTTCCCTTTGCATCGGCAGTTGACCTTCATGCTTTTGGCTACTCCAAACGGATATGATCCAAAAAAGGATCATCTCGAGGTTTGCTGAGGACATGCTTCTTGTGAAACAAGAACCTCGCGAGTGAAGCCTAGCGTCTGCACACTGACCCCACAAAAATTGGGAAAATATCTGGCAATGCTTGGGTGCCAATGTGGCAGGTCAGGATAGAAACTGACCAAACTTTGCACATTGTATGGTCCCAGAAGGTACCATTCGCGGTTTGCTGAGGGCATGCTGCTGGAGGCAACAAGAACCTCGCAAGTGAAGCCCAATGGCAATGCACTGACTCCACCAAAATCTGATGAAAAATATGATATGGCAATCAAGCCAGAACTTTAGAATAAAAATGCATATGCAAAAAGCCGTTGCTTTTGCAGCTACACTGCAAGCTTGTGAGCAGTAATTACTGTAACACCAGAGCACCTTTGGCGCAGCACTTTTGCACGCTAAAACATTGCAAATCGATGCAACAAACATTTGCGTGTCACTCAAGCAGGCGTGACTGTCCTGTGGCTCCGTTCCAGCAATGATGCAAATATACCAAATAATACAAAATACCAATACAAGCGAGGTACTGATGTAGCGGACTTTTGCTTGTGCATGCTCGTGCCATAGGAACATCTGGCAAACGAACTCAAAATTCTAAGATTCTAAGCCATGGCCAGCCCCCATGCCTGGGGATTTGAGCTGCCTAGGCCCCGAGCATCCTGTCCAACAGAGAAGGGGCCACAGTGCTCTTGGCTTCGACCAACTTCGACTGAGAAGGGCTGGAACCCAAAAACCTCAGCTGAAACATGGCCTATGCAGAAGCTGTCATACAAAAGGGTTACGTGAGGGGCTTATGTGCTCATATACCCTGCAGCCTGAACAAAAAACACGCCGCCCACATGGACATGGGTGGAATGGAATATTGGACTCGTGAGACAAGTGGCCCTACATTCACTCTCTGGAAATGAATAGTGTCAATTTAGCTGGAATCCTCTAAGCTAAGCCTTTCGGGTCGATCTTGTCTGCAGCTAGGATTCAAAACTAATGACATTGAGCCAAAACATGACGAGGAAAAAGAAGTCTGCCACTGTCTTTATCAACGTCTTACTGCGATGTGCAAGCAAGACGAATCAGCGGGAGCAGGTGTTCAGCCGAGTCTCTCGACGCGTCCGGACTTCAAGTCATAGACTCCTCCATGGATCTCCAACTTGCCGCTAGAAACCTGCCGCCAATGTTTCACACAATTCAAGTGAGGACTTATTTATATCACAAAAACTCACGAAACCAGTGGCTATGTCTCAACAGTGTTGTATACAACTAGGAGGACGGCCGTGTGGTTTTGTAACCTTTATGATGTCTGAAGTTCAGCCTTTCTTGTGCCCACAATTCCACGGTGTTTTCATAGGCCGTTTTTCCTGAAGCATTCTTTCCGACTCTTTCCTTCAGTTCTGTACCGGAATGGCAAAACCGGGCGATTCGTCTCAGAGGCAGATGAAAGCGGGCAACTACTTGTGCACAGACATGCTTTCCCCCAGCGAAAACAAGATAATTTGTTTCCACGTTATCTTCTGAAGAAGATGAACAACGTAGCATGCACTGGATGTGCAACATGAAGAAGATGATGAATAATGTAGCATGCAATTCATGTGGAGCACAAAGAAGAAGAAAGAAGAAGAAGAAGAAGGAAGAAGGAAGAAGATGATTAACTTAGCATGCACTGCATGTGCAACATGAAGAAGATGATGAACAATGCACCATGCACTGCATGTGCAACACGAAGAAGAAGAAAAAGAAGAAAAGGCAGAAAAGACGAAGAAGAAGAAGAACAAGAAGAAGAACAAGGATGTAACATAAACGCCCAGCCCAGCAAACACAGCGTGCGTTGCCCGTGCCAGAACATGAAGAACGTTATTGCCCCACCCCGGACCCGCCCGAGCCGGCCCAGCAGAAAAAGAATGTGAAGGAAGAAAAGCACACAGCCGTCTGGGGGTCGTGTACCCACCCCAGACGGCACAGAACCGAGTTTACGGCGGTCCCTCGGCTTCTTATATTTGAACCTGTACTTTCGTGACTCTAGCAGAAGTTTGTGACCGATCCACAGCGACCATCCAAAGCAGAAGAGTACAGTAGCTGACGCCTTCTCACGGATGGGCTCGCTGTGCCTCAGAAACTGAAACCACTTCAAAATGTCTCTTTTTTGCATGACTCAAAATCTGTTCAATAAGCAAGCCTCATTCAGAAACGCGTCATGGGACGACCCTGTTTTTCCTTGTTCTCCTGGACATTCTGCTTTTGGGGCATTTGAGCATCTGCCAGCCGTGCTATCCAAGCGACTGCATGAGGAAGTTCATGGTATGGAAGACGTTGAGCTTCACCGCGAGTGCTGCGACTTCCTCCTCTGTCGCCTGACCCAGCCCGCTGGGACGCAAGATATTATGTGTTTTTTGGAGCGGTCAGTGCATGGTTTCATGCACACATTCACATTATTTACCATGGCCCTTTGCCCCACCTTGGCACCAGCTTCCGCCACTGCCTGGGCCACCACGGTGTCCAGGCCCTTCAGAAGTACATCCAAGGCATTGTTGGCCTTGGTGGGTCAGCGTGGGTCAACGCGCAGATGGAAGAAACCACATTTACTGTTTAAAATGCCCAAACTTCGATAAACTTAGTACATCTACTACCTCTGTGTCAAGTTTACTACCTGCAATGGAAGTCTCAAGTCTTTCAAGCTAAGTCGCCTTCGTCGGCTGCTTCTTGGCCGCAAAGTATGCTGCCGTCGCCCCCTTGATGGCACCGCAGTTGGTATGTCCCAGCACGAAGATCAGCTGAGTGTTCAAGGCCCCGGTGCAGAACTCCAAGCTGCCCAAGATACTTCCCTCAGCGTGTGTGCAGGTGTTTCCAGCGTTACGCAGAACGAACAGATCACCAGGAAGAGCATCGAAGAGTGTCTCCAGCGGACAACGCGAATCCGCGCAGCCCACGATGGCCGTGTGGGGCGCCTGACCTTTGGTTGCCAAAGCCTCGCGCATGCTATGATGCACCTTGCCAGCAGCAGGAGCACCCACCACGAAGCGCTCGTTTCCCTCTTTCAGGGTCTGCAGGGCCAACCTTCGACGAGGGATCAACCACAGACACAAGTCTTGGAGATCATCATGAATGATCATGAACCATAGTATATGTTGCAAAATCAGACCAGCTCGCGTCATCTCGCGTCAAACATCCATGGGCTCACATGGATTCAAACGGATTTATTTGGCGTCAATTGCGCCCGCCGAACTCCAACAGTTTAAGTTTGAACCATTTACACCAAATCCTAATGCATTTCATGTTACATTGTAACATAGTGCATGGCTACTTCTCACACAGCTCCCATGCGGCAAGTGACTTGGGCGCCACGATTCCGTCTTGAGATGTGCGGATGGTGCCCAGTGCCATGGATGGTGGCAGCGACAAACCCGACGACAACAGCTCCGCTTGGCGTGGGGATTGACCCAGAAACTCCACTCGGCCCGTCTCGAGGTGATAGATGCCGCCCTGGATGTCCAACTCTCCCTTGCGGACCAACTCACGCAATGGCTCGCTGAACTTCAACAGGAAATCCATGGAATGGAAGACGTTCACCTTCACAGCATGCGCCACCAGTTCTTGCTGGGAAGCACCTGGGCCCAGCTGTTCACTGGCATCCTTCGCCACCACGGCAAGACCCTGCAGCAAGCCCTCCAAAGCGCAGCCAGGAGCATTGGTGGCTCCTGCTTGGTGGGTCGCAGTGGCCCCAGCAATGGCACCACACTGGGTGTGTCCCAAGACCAGAATCAACTTGCTGCCCAGCTTGCCGGTGCAGAACTCCAATGAGCCAACGATGGATCCCTCGGCATGCGTGCACGTGTTCCCAGCATTCCTCAAGACAAACAGCTCTCCAGGCGTTGCGTCGAAGACCGTGTCGACCGGGACGCGAGAGTCGGCACAGCCAAGAATGGCACTGTGAGGCGCTTGGTTGTGTTTCACCAACGCCTTGCGCATGGCATCCGGAGTCTTGCCAGCAGTTGGGGCACCGGCAGCAAAGCGCTCGTTGCCCTTCTTCAGCATCGACAACGCCAAGTCGGACGGCACCCTTTCATCCGCACCGGTGCGCACACCATGCAAACCTCGCTCCTCCTCTGTGACCATGGAAGGTGGGATGGCCATGCTGCTGTCCAGCAATTCTTTCTGCAAAGGAGACTGGCCCAGAAACTCCACAGATCCAGTCTCCAAATGGTAAATGCCACCTGAGCCACTGTTTCGAACACTCCGGATTTCCCTTCACTGGTTTCAAGATATTTCAACCATGCTCCCCACATACTTACATACTGGGTGGCAATGATTGGCATCAACTCCCCCCAAAAAACCCAATGAACAATCATCAGTTGGAGTTACTGTACATCCCCATGCTTGGCGGCTCTGCAAGTCCTGAACTGTGGTTCCGACATGGTTGTTTAAGCATGATTGTGAATATGCAGGCTATACATGCCTATACCAATCTATCTCCATCAGCCAAAGAGAGTTCGAACATGTGGCCACTGCTCACCTTGGATCTGAACTTGTCCAGTCTTGACCATCTCGCGGATGCCCTCGCTGAAGCGCAAGAGAAAGTTCATGGTGTGGAACACATTCACCTGTCAAAACTCACAAAAAAATTGCTTGTGGCTGAGCCACGCATCACATTCTGGTGAAGTAGGTTTCGTGAATGATCCAAGCTCAAAGGAACTGCTCTGATGGGGTGGTAAATGGGAAAAAAATGGAAAAAAGAGAGCAGTGGTGCGGTGCGGTAGTGCGGTGAAGGGTGGTGCGGTGGTGCAGTGGTGGGGTGATGGGGTGCGGTGGTGGAATGGTGGGGTGCAGTGGTGGAGCGGTGAAGTGCGGTGGGGTCGTGAAGGCAGACAGGTGCCAACCAGGCCCAACAACTGCCAACAACCGCCCCTACGACTAGGTCCTCGTACATTATACGTGAGGTTTCGGCGCCGTCAAATCTAGATAATTCACCAAGTTAAGCTCAGGTGATAGCAAAACAATATTCACCAACCGGTCAGTCCCTACCTCCTGACTTCCTGGCCATTGATTCCAAATTTCTCAAGAAGAAACGGCAACGTTCGGTTCCATCCTCTCAAAATTATGATGTAGAAATTGACAATCGCAAAAATCCACATGGATGTTGGTATAGAAGGCATCCTCACCATCCTCAATCGAATTAAATCCTCATGCTTCCATATAGCTTCGACCTGTGACCATCTCCTTTCACCCGGCCTTTACAGCATGGGCGGCCACTTCATCCGAGCTGGCACCCGGTCCCAGCTCCTGCGCGGCTTCTTGGGCCACGGAGCCAAGATCTTGAAGAAGTCCCTCCAATGCGCATCCTGCCACCTCCAGCGTTGCCATGTGTGGCCATGCGTTGCCATGTGATGCCATGTGATGCCATGCGTTGCCATGCGTTGCCATGTGTTGCCATGTGTTGCCACGCATTGAGCTCATTGCCATGTGCTGCCACTTGTATCCACTTGTTTGTATAAATTTCAGAAGCGAAAAAAGCAGAACAACAACCTGGAGATCGTCTGTTTACCACTTTCTTGTAAAACACCTGCGATTAAACAGGGCACCACAGGTTGAATTTCCCTCATCGGTTTTGCCGGGCCCGTTCTGAATGTGCACAGCAGTATTTGCTTGATTTACACATAATTACGCCAAGTTTAATGGACTGTCGTGTATGGTCCCAGGTTATCGCTTTTGGGGGTGGCCCTATCGCTTTACAGTGTTTCGTGCACATCTCTGACAAAAACTCCTAAAATACTAAAGTAGTCAACCATTTTGACCGTGGCTCATATGTTTACCACTTTCTTGTAAATAATTGTTTCGAGCGAGGTTGTAAAACACCTGCCTTCTTTCCTGGCTGCGAATCCAAGTAGGTCTTTGTCGCCCCGTAAATGGCACCGCACTTGGTGTGGCCCAAGACCAAAATCAAACGGCTGCCGAGCTTTCTGGTGCAGAACTCCAAGCTGCCCACCATGGATCCTTCCGCATGTGTGCACGTGTTTCCGGCGTTCCGAAGCACGAAAATGTCACCTGGACAACTGATGGGAGTATTGGACAGTGGACAGTACAGAAGATATTTTCAACCTCTACGACATCATGCGGTGGATCGCATTGAATCACAAGGTGCCAAAAACAAAAGAGCTGCCACTACTTGTTCCTGTTCTTTTTGGGCTGACACCATGAAAATCAATAATAATTATATATAGCGTAATATGATCAAACTGCGGAAAACATGGCTGGGCGTGGACTTGGAAATCTTTGGAATCATGTCCCTGTGCCTGGCATGGTGTCGAAAATGGTTTCCAGCGGCGCGCGGGAATCGGCGCAACCGATAATGGCGGTGTGAGGTGCTTGGCCATCCTCCACCAGCTGCTGACGCGCTGCCGACTTGGTCTTGGAACCCCAGGGACAGCCATTCACGAAGCGGCGGTTGCCCTCCTGGCGATGAGATTGCGGTGATGTCAGACATCTGTTCAACACAAAGCTGTTGCAATCCCCACCACCTATATACGTCCAGTCATATTCACACCGTTTCTGTCTCTAAATCTCAGACATGCCCAAACCAGAGTATTGCCAACCAGGCTATACCTTCTTGCTGGGGGATGGGGTGCAAGCACAAGCTGTCAAGCTTGTTTTGACGTGCTTCCTCCCAGCATGCTGGTTGGTGCTGCCCCTTTCCCCGTGCCCTGTCCTTCAACAGCTTCATAGCCTCTTCAGGGGCCATGGGCGGATCGATAGTGGTTCGGACCTGCCGTTCCACTGGCTGAGAGCACAGGTTCATGGCATCGGTCAGTTGGCTGATGAAGGAAGCCATTGCGACCTCAGTGCCGTGCTGATTCGCTCCTCATCTTGATACCTGTGATGATCACACCAAATGATACCAAATGTCTGTCTCATGAGAACTCTCATCTAGGTCGGTTCTTGGAAGGACACAAGTCACTTTCTGACTTTACACTTTGCAAGTTCAAAAGCTCTTGAAAAGCTTCATACTGAGGTCTACACGTTGAAGCGCGACGATTAAGGCTTTTGGAACACGCGGGGATTGAGCAAATGCTTTGGTGCAAATTCAGGCATCAGATTGATCCTTGATAATTCTGAGGCTGGGTTTGGTGAGCTACTTTAGATGTGTTTCCCTTTGCATCGGCAGTTGACCCTCATGCTTTTGGCTACTCCAATAAAAGAAAGTCATGTCAGCAGCCAACATTCACACATGCGTATTTTTTTTCTGGATGCGGGCTTTGACGCTCTGTGATGCCAATTTGGCAGGTCAGGATAAAAACTAGCCAAGCTATGCGTAACGTATGGTCTTTTAGGACCACGTCGAGGCTTTTTGAGGCATGTCTTGCAACAACAGGAACCTCACAAATGCAGCCCCTTGGCTGAGCACTGACTCCACCAAAATTGGGAAAATGCCTGGCAATACCGGAGCCAGGACCTTCAGAATAAAGATGCATTTGCAAAAGACGTTGCTTTTGCAGCTACACTGCAAGCTTGTGAGCAGTAATTACAGCAAAGCACCATCGGTGCTTGGATGCGCTTGCTTTGCAGCACGTCTACACTGTCTACACGCATAAACACTCTCAACAATATTTGCTCCTCACTAGCGAAGGTGTGACTGTCATTCACACGAGTACAGTGGCGGTTGTCGACTTTTAATCAAACTATCGGGAACATATCTGCGAAACACACAATTCGACACCTGCGCCATGTTTGGGATCTCCCATGCCAATGCCCCCTACCAAACGCAACCTTGGCGCTTAAAGGCATCAGCCAAATACTCCGCACTGATTCCTGCTCTGGCCTATATATAGGCCATCCTAGGCCCCAAACATCTTGTCGTTCACAGAAAGCGACGCAGAGCTCTTCGCTTTGACCAATTTCCACTGAGGAGGGCTGGAACCCACCGTGCTCTTAGATTTCCGCAGCTTCGGCTGAGAGGTGGCGGAAAAAACCGTGGTCTTTGCTTTGACCAGCTTCGGCTGAGAGGGTGTCCAAGTCAAAAACCTCAGAAAAACGGAAGAGAAAGCCTTTGCTATCCATGCATAGATGTCTGGTTGCTGCAATGATGAAACTGGTCAGCTGCGTGACATGATGCTTTCTGGAATATTTTGGTGAAGGCAAGTAGGCACCTTGAAGTCGCAACTACAGCAGGTAGGAATTCAGACCTACGACATCCTACGACTGTCTCGCTGAACAATGAGCGAGTTCCAACCTGTGAAGGTTGCACACAAAGCATAATAACCACAGCATGACAAGGAAGAGAACAAATTATATCATATTATGATGACAGTCTCGCCCTGCTGCAACTCAAGCGAACCGGCAGCAGCAAGTGTTCAGCCAAGATTCTCAACGCGTCCAGACTTCAAGTCATAGACTCCTCCATGGATCTCCAACTCGCCGCTGGAAACCTGCCAGGTGCTTCACAAAACTCACGTGACCTTGGAGGGTTGAATACGACGAAATGTGACATGAGGCGAAATGTGACGCTACGTCGCAAGACTGATAAGACTGCTTGGTCAATACTGTACTGGAAATTGGAAGTGGCCAAGTTTGGCCGGCGCCATCTTGGAATAGGAACCGCTGATGCCTTCTCGCGGAGGGCTGGCTGTGCCTGCACAACTAAGGCAGCTTCAACGTGTCTGCGATTTGGATGACTCGAAATCTGTTTAATAAGCCGTTTCTCGTTGCATCTGGATTCACTTCCAAAATTCTTCATGGTAAGCCTGCAGTATTGGCCCACATCAAACTCTCCATTGTAAGCCTTCTTGAAAAACCTCACCATGCGTCAACCCTGTTCTTCCTGGGCATGTTCTTTTGTGGCGTTTCAGCATCTGCCAGCAGTTCGATCCAAGGGACTGCGTGAGGAAGGTCATGGTATGGAAGACATTGAGCTTCACTGCGAGTGCTGTAACTTCCTCCTCTGTGGCCTGCCCCAGCCGGTTGGAATCCTTGCTTTCCCCGCAGGTTGGGCATGAAAAGGAACTGATGAATTTACTGCTTGCCCCCAGAGAGCAGAAATGTTGACCCTGAACGGTAACATGCGCTGACCGCATCCAAGCGCTCCTCCGAGTACCCCACCATGCCCCGCCTTGTCCCCAGCTTCGGCCACCGCCTGAGCCACCACTGTGTCGAGACCCTTCAGAAGTACATCCAAGGCATTGTTGGCCTCGGCCGCCAATGGCAAAAATGGCGCGATCATCTACCAATAAAATCCCAACTTGAGGCCCAGGGTGGGTGAACGAAAGCCAAAGGTCATATAAATGTGGAAATAGGTGAGTGGAACTTGGAAACCTGCAGGGAAGTGCAGACAATACCCATCCACAGGGAAGGAGTCAAGATGGTTGCAAAAGAATTGTGTAATGTCCAGTTTTCAATCGTAGAACATGTGAAGCAAAGAACATGGTTACTGAAAAAAGTTGGGGCCTTATCCAGAAGTGTCATTTTTGTTGGGCCCACTGCCAAATTGTTAGAAGCTTTGGCGAGCTTGGAAAGTCCGCGACAAAGTTTGGGCCCCATCCAAAATTATAATTTTTGATGGGGCTCAAATCTACACAGTATTGACTCAGCAAAATGTTCTGGTGAGGCATCTTGCGCAAGAGTTCCAACACAACATGTAATCTTCCGCTGCAAGTCGTAAAACGTCTGAACCAAAGAAGATGGTGACTCTATCAAGTTTGAGCCCCATCCAAAACTATAATTTTCGATGGGGCTCAAATCTACAGTGTTGACCTCAGTAAAAAGAATTCTATCGAGCCTAATGTTCTGGTGAGGCATCTTGCTCAAGAGTTTCATCCGCACAACATGTAATCTTCCGTTGCAAGTAGTAAAACACCTGAACCAAAGAAGATGGTGACTCTATCAAGTTTGAGCCCCATCCAAAACTATAATTTTCGATGGGGCTCAAATCTACAGTGTTGACCTCAGTAAAAAGAATTCTATCGAGCCTAATGTTCTGGTGAGGCATCTTGCTCAAGAGTTCCATCCGAACAACATGTAATCTTCCGTTGCAAGTCGTAAAACACCTGAACCAAAGAAGATGGTGACTCTATAAAGTTTGAGCCCCATCCAAAATTACAATTTTTGATGGGGCTCAAATCTACACAGCGTTGAGCCGAGTCAGAAAGAACTCTATCGAACCTAATGTTCTGGTGAGGCATCTTGCGCAAGAGTTCCATCACAACATGCAATCTTCCGCTACAAGCCGTAAAACATCTGAATCAAAGAAGATGGTGGCTCTATAAAGTTTGGGCCCCATCCAAAATTATAATTTTCGATGGGGCTCAAATCTACAGTGTTGACCTGAGTGAGAAAGAATTCTATCCAGCCTAATGTTCTGGCGAGGCATCTTGCTCAAGAGTTCCATCCGAACAACATGTAATCTTCCGTTGCAAGTCGTAAAACACCTGAACCAAAGAAGATGGTGACTCTACAAAGTTTGGGTTTCATTAGATAGGATGCCTGTCCAGATCTCTTTTTTCACCACCTGGTTTTTGTTGCTGAGCAGCTGCGGCACGTTTCGGCTGGCATCAACTGGACAGCACGTAAATTCAACAAATCCTGAGCTAGAGAGGGACGGCCCTGGCAGGATTTGAGCCGGTGACCATCTGCTGCCGAGACTGCTTCAAAATGCCCCGGGAGCTTAGGGGGGTGGGTCCAAGTGAAAAATCACTGTGTTGGACTCAGACCTGCCCCTCCCCTTGCTGAAGCAAGAGTAACTCAGCTAGCTAGCTTTCGTGATAAAGTCCCACGGTTAAGTTTTGGCACTGCCTTTTGTAAGGGAAATCTGGATATAGACAAAGTCTACTGCTTTAAGCCTGAGCAGCCTTCTTTTGTTGCTTCTTGGCCGCAAAGTAGGCTGCCGTGGCACCCTTGATGGCACCGCAGTTGGTATGTCCCAGCACAAAGATCAGCTGAGTGTTCAAGGCCCCGGTGCAGAACTCCAAGCTGCCCAAGATACTTCCCTCAGCGTGTGTGCAGGTGTTTCCAGCGTTACGCAGAACGAACAGATCACCGGGAAGAGCATCGAAGAGTGTCTCCAGCGGACAACGCGAATCTGCACAGCCCACGATGGCCGTGTGGGGCGCCTGACCTTTGGTTGCCAAAGCTTCGCGCATGCTGCGATGCACCTTGCCAGGGGCAGGAGCACCCTCCACAAAGCGACCATTGCCCTCTTTCAGGGTCTTCAGGGCGAACCTTCACCGAGGCGATTTCGATCAGGTTTGTCCCAAAGAAGAAATCATGGCTCAAGTAAGTATGTCATTGTGGTATTGTGCAAATCAGATCAAATCAATGACATGCAAAAGCACCAGCCAGAGGGTCTTACATGATAAGTGATAATTGTCAAAGATGCAGCAAGCTCCAAGACTGTCAAATGGTTTGGCACCAAACGCGCCAAGCTTCAAGAATTAACAAAATGCGCATACCACCAGGGGATACTTTCATGTTACATGTTGAAACATGTTGACCACCACTTCCGTCAATGCAGCTAATCACTTCTCACACCATCCGTCCATCCATCCACGGCTCCCATGCAGCAAGCAGCTTTGGCGCCACGATTTCATCTTGAGATGTGCGGATGGTGCCCAGTGCCATGGATGGTGGCAACGACAAATTGGACAACAACACCTCCGCTTGGCGTGGGGAACGACCCAGAAACTCCACTCGGCCCGTCTCGAGGTGGTAGATGCCGCCCTGGATGTCCAACTCTCCCTTGCGGACCAATTCACGCAAGGGCTCGCTGAACTTCAAGAGGAACTCCATGGAACGGAATACGTTCACCTTCACAGCATGCGCCACCAGCTCTTGCTGGGATGCATGTGGGCCCAGCTGTTCACTGGCATCCTTGGCTACCACGGCAAGACCCTGCAACAAACCCTCCAAAGCGCAGCCAGGCGCATTTGTGGCTCCTTTTTCGTGGTTCTCCGTGGCCCCAGCAATGGCACCGCACTGGGTGTGCCCCAAGACCAGAATCAACTTGCTGCCCAGCTTGCCAGTGCAGAACTCCAATGAGCCAACGATGGATCCCTCGGCATGCGTGCACGTGTTCCCAGCATTCCTCAAAACAAACAGCTCCCCAGGTGTTGCGTCGAAGACTGTATCAACCGGGACGCGAGAGTCGGCACAGCCCAGAATGGCACTGTGAGGCGCTTGGTTGTGTTTCACCAGGGCCTCCCGCATAGCATCCGAAATCTTGCCGGCGGTTGGGACTCCTGCAACAAAGCGCTCATTGCCTCTCCTCAGCATCAACAATGCCTCGTCGGATGGTACCTTTTCATCTGCGTCAGTGCGCACACCATGCAAACCTCGTTCCTCTTGTGTGACCATGGAAGGTGGGATAGGCATGCTGCTTTCCAGCAACTCCACCTGCATAGGAGACCTGCCCAGGAAATGCACGCATCCAGTCTCCAGGTGGTAGATGCCACCTGAGCTGCTGGTTTCAACATGCTTTAACACTCCTTATGCACTGTCTGGTATCAACCCCAATGACCGTCCATTAGTTGTCTTCTTCTTTAAACGGTTTTCTGCCATTTCACCTTCCACAGCAGTTTAATGTTGCTTCAACCTCCCCCGCAAAGCTATGGGGGTCAGCTGGCCACTGCTCACCTTGGATCTGAATTTGTCCAATCCTGACCATCTCGCGGATACTCTCGCTGAAACGCAAGAGAAAGTTGATCGTGTGGAACACGTTCACCTGCTGAGGCTAAACGCCACTCAACTGTCAATGGCTGGGCTGATCTGGGCTGAGCTGCCCAGCAAAAACATGTGAAGAAAAAGATGGCGATCATGAATTGTGAATCATGTTCAGAACTGGAAAATGGCATATTATAAGGCAAATGTGTATATACTGCATGTACAGACGAATATACTTATTATATTCCCTCACGCCGCCTTTTCCGTTGGTCCCTTCGTGTTCTGGTGATCACGTTTTCCTGCAACATTTGTCGGGTTTTCTTCTGTTGCAGTAGATCAGTAAAATGTGTTTCGTTGCGTTTCCCTGTGTTTTTGTTTCTTGATGTTTGTATTTACGCTGAGTGTTTGTGCCATTTTTGTCCCATCTCTCCTTTCTTGTCCACGAAATGGGGTGTTTTGATATAAAGTAATAGTATGCAAAAGATACATCCATGTATCCATGTATATTGTATATGGTTTACATATATACATATATATATGCATACGTGTGTGTGTATGTGCTCTTACTTTTTAAACGCATTGACGTAAATGTGTTCTGACTAGGTATGGAACATTTTCTTGTAATTTCCGTCGCGTTCATGTTTTTAACTTCGACTGCAGTATTTATTTCAGTTTCATTTCCAGGGGCTGTTTCGGGGGACACGGCGGCCCGCGTGTCAGTATGTATGTATATATACATCATATAAATATATATATATGTGTGTATATATATACATACACTATAACTTATAGCCGAAGGAAGTTTAGAAGTCAAACTTCCGACTTGTGGACAGATGCAGCAACAGTGGTGAGAGCAGGCAGAGAAGAGAAAGAGCCAGTAGAAAGAAGATCAGCAGAAAGAAGATCAGTAGCCAGAAGATAAGGGCGCGCAAAAATGTAGAAAAGTCGCGAGATACGGTTTTTTCCCAATGTTTGTGGCTCCAGGGGGTCGAAAAGTAGGCTCGCCAAAGCGGTGGGTGCGGAGCCATCTGCCCGTATGAGAAATCAAAAATTGCACGCCGCTGTGGCGCGAAGCAGATTTAAGTGAACATGCAAAAACCACCAGCCTCAGAGCACTTCTGGAAATTGAGAGGTTGAAAAATATTACAAAATTGCACGCCGTTGTGGCGTGAAGCGGCTTTCGAAATCAAAATGGTAAAAACGCACCACGTTCGGAACACTTTTGGACGCTCCGGCGTCGTTTTTCGTGGCAGGGGCGCTGGATTCTGTACTTTGTCAAAAGTGAGCGCGTGGGCTTTGCAGCGCGTCCAAAAACCATGGCATGCGTGGGACATCTGAAGAGGAATCTGCAAAGATGCATTTCGCATGGCAGGCGCAGTACAGGAGACGTACCCATCCGAACCCCCGGTCGTACCGCTCAAAAGGGTCCAGTCCTGGAAAAAAATGCCTTAAATCGTTTGGTCCACAACCTTTTGGAATTGATTTCCAAAGGGTACAACCCAACAGATTTAAGCCAACAACCAAGTTGCAATTTCCCGGGCAAACAAATTAAAATCCTGGTCCACAACCTTTATGTGGACTAACATTTCTCCTGGCTCACCATTGCGCTGACACAACTCTTTTCCTGGGTCATAACGGTCATAACCTTTATGATGATACATGTGTACCTACCCCATTCAGATCGTCAAGTCGATTGAATTGGAAGATCACGACCTTTCAAAAACTGCTGAGGGTTTGGCATAAACACTTTTCTTGTCATATAATTCAAATCCTGGGTCACAGGGTTTCCACCGGCTCCATCATTTTTTTGCTCGCATCCTGTCAAGATCTTTCAAGACGGGGAGATGGATGACAC